CGGCGGGCCGCGACCGCTCGCTTCCTCCTGAGGGGCCTGCGGGAGCGCTGAGCCCCCGCCGGCCGGGGCCCTCCCGCGCTCCGAGCCCGGCTCGGGGAAGACCCCTTTGTGTCTTCCGCGCTCGGGGAGAGCGGCACCGGTTTCCCTCAGGTCGGCCACCGCCTCCGGGGCGGCTGTCCCGCATCGCGCTGCCGCCGTTGGCAGGGAAGCCCACCCCCCCCATAAAAGCTGGGGTGCGGGTGGCGCTGGCCGCGTTGTCCGGAGCGAGGAGGCTCCGCAGCCGCGCTCCGCGGTGGGCAGGCAGCCCCCGGCCCCAGCGGGAAACCCCGCCGGGCTGCGGAGCCGTGAAGGTGGTGCATCAGAAAGTCACGGTAATAGCGGCAGAAGTCGGAGAGAGAAGTGATTTTTTTTTTTTTTTTTTTTTTTTTTTTTGGCTAGTAACTAAATTACCAAAACCGATTAAAAAGCACTTGTCAATGAAAGTTACTTAGTGTGGTGAATGAGACTGGACAGTGCATAGAAAGACTGAAGATGGCTTTTTTTGTTTGTTTCGTTTTGGTTTTGTTAATTTCATCTTGCCTGTTCTTTAGTTTTTTGTTTGTTTCGTTTTGGTTTTGTTAATTTCATCTTGCCTGTTCTTTAGACCATGTTTGTTTGTCTTTAAATTCCTGCCCTCCATAAGGTATTTTTTTTCTTGGGTTTGACCTTTTCCACAGCAGAGGAGAGAACACACTGACTCTAGGTAACTCAAAATTATGCTCCAAAGGGATGTCAAAGAAGTATGCTGCAGTACAGTTCTAGACAAGAGCACCAGATTATTTATTTTTTGAGTTCAGGTTGATCACTGGTTTTGGTTGTGGGGTTTTTGTTTGGGTTTTTTTTTTTAGGGAAAGAAATCTGAATAAAAATGCATTCCTTTTTCTTAATGCCTTCTTTGGGCCTTGGCTGTACTTCCGAAAACTAAGTAGTCAATGGAAGGTCAGGATAGAAATTTCACATTTTTCTCTGCCCTCTGGAATATATTTGCTGTCAGTGATGTGTTTTAAACAACATTATGTGTTTTAATATACTTTTTTGTTTTCTTCCAAAGGTAGTGAAAAAGAAAATACCAAGATGAGTAAAAAGCCTCCTAATCGTCCTGGAATCACATTTGAGATTGGTGCTCGTTTGGAAGCACTGGACTATTTACAAAAATGGTATGGAAGACATTGTGCAGTATTTGCTAAGAGCAAAATTATTTTGTGTATATTGTATGTTTTGATGACTAATTATAAAACTGAATGTAACTACTAATTGACTGCTTCGCATATGAATGTCACGAATTTCCGCATAAGTCTGTTAAAACTAATTGCTTTTAGGAAAATATTCTCTGTTCAGGAATCAAATTACATTTTTCTATGGGCATTTGTTTGTTTGCTTTTAGTTGCTTCTGCAGCCCCAGTATGCAAAGAGCATTTCCAGAGTAGTGTGGAATGCAGTGTCATGTGCGTGATGACCGGCGTGTTAATGTGGCAAACTTCTGTCACTAAAGACTTTTTTTGTTTAGTTTGAAGGCATGCAAGCGAATTTGTTTTGTATTCAGTTATCACACTTCATAGGTTCACAAAACTGTTTTTAAAAAGAGAAAACATGCTTAATCAGAGTTCATGGAATAGGTAAGTATGATTGTATTTGTATCAAACAGTTGGAGGAATGAAGTGCATAAAACTGAGGCACTTATCATGAGTAAGAGTCAAGACTATAAAATGGAAATTTGTGGACACAAGGGCCACACTACACAGCATGTGCATTGTGAAAGGAGTTATTCTTTTGAAAGAGATTTAGTCAAAATTTTATTAGTGTAAGGGGGCTAATTTCATGATGTGCACTCTCCATTCTTTTTCAGTTTGAAAACTCCCTGGTCTTGTTAAAGTAGATGACATGGGAAGTTGATTCTTCTACCCAGAAGTTTTTTCTTAGCTGCTCTCTGGTTAGTTGCATGCCTGGAGAACTAAACATGTTCATGTGAATATCTGATCCTGCTACCACCAACTTGTGTATTATTTACGTGTTTACTCCAGTAGTTACATGCTCTGTATAAAAACTTTTGGTTAAACTTTGGTTTAACTTTGGTTAAACTTTTTTATCTGCAGAGCTTTGATTTTAATTATAATAAAAGTGTTTTAATAAACAGTCTCTAAAGGAAAATATGGTTTACAGAACAGTCCATGTTCTTAGATTTTGCTGTAGAGTGGGTTTTCAACATACTGATTCTATAACTGAATGCCAAGATCATGAAACTGTCTGAATAGTGCTATAAAAATAAAATCATTTCAATAAAACTTTTTATACCATCTCTTGTGACAAGAGAGAATTGGTTAATGTAACTAGGTAATGAAAGTTAATATGTAACAATCGCTTCAGCTTAATTGTATCAAAAAAACCCAAACAAATCACTGAGTATCCAGTGTATAGTTTGCTTCAGATCTGCCTGGCCTTTTCACAGGGGAGGGTCACCTGTCAGTTCTGGAGTATTCGTCTAGATTTGGACTTGTCAGGCATGAGCCCTGTTGCAAGATCTATAGCTGAGTTGCTTGGTATTTTGGGACAGAATAGAGTTTATTCTGAACTTTCTAGGAATTGATACATTGTAGAACAAACCAAGTTTATATTCATGTAAACTTCTGTGGTGCCATATTCAGGAGCAGAAAGTTAATATTAAAATTTTACAGTTACAACAGCTCTGAAAACAGGACTCTTTCAATTGAAATAATATGTGTGCACATAACCAAAGAGTTTATTAGAGAAATTCTACTGTTGTGTTATTATTAGGGTGACATGGGTTGGAATAATACTGTGTGACTTTTTTTTTTCCCCTTAGCTCTCTGTTACATAAGGGGGTGGTGGATGTTTTAAAAATTATTTCTATATATAAGCTGTATGCGTTCCCCTCATCTGCATGCAGAAATAGAACATGCTTCAAAGAAAATAAAGTTGCTGAACTTACATGAAATCTCTTTATATTTTTTAACAAAACCAAAACGGAAGAGCAGTAGTATTGCTGAGCTCAGTTTTTCTACAAGCAACAAATTGAGAACACTTGCTGAAAAATAGCCTTTGAAAAGGTTTTAATTTTTTTCTCCATTTTTCTGAAAGCCTGCTGTCATTTAAATATCCAGTGTGCGTGACTTGGTAAAATGTTAATCAACATTTTCCCATCCTTCTAGAGAATGGGAAAAAATTCTTGTGTAAGTTTTTGCTTTCTGAGGCACTTCTGTGAGTCTCAAATTTTCATCTGTGTAGTAGTTGCTGAAATTCATCTCATGCAATCCAATGTTCTCTTTGAATTCTGGAAACTTTGGAGAGGGTATTGTGTACTTTGACTATTTTTGCTTAAAAACTCTATATCAAGTTTTTTGCAGACAGTGTTTGGGTCGCTGATGTCATTTGGCATGTGTGATTACTGAGTAGAAGAAAGCCTGGTCAAACTGGTCAGCGAAGACAGGCTGTCAATGAGCATGTTTATTTTTGCTTTATTGTGGCAGTAACTGCAGTTTCTTCTTTATCAAGTGAAAAACAATATATTGTTGCAGGGGAGGTTCTTTTCCATAATGAATTTGTACCACTTGTTAAATTTAGATTCACTAAAGCTAACTATGAAATGCAGCTTTAATCGAAATCAATGTGATAATCTGTCAGCAGACAGTGAATGAGGTGGGATTGACTGATAACAGAAAATTTTTAAAAATATAGGAGATGATCAGGGGCCTGGAGTGTACAACCTTTGAAGAGAGGGCAAGGAAACTGGGCTTGTTTAGGTTGGAGAAGGCAACAGGAGACCCACTAGCAGCCTTCAGTACCTACAGGGATAGCATCAAGAAGACTTAGCCAAGCTCTCCACAGTAGTGTGTGATTAAAGGACAACAGGCCCAAGTTGAACAAGAGAGATTCGGGCTACAAGGTACAAGGAGAATCTTTTTCCCCATGGGACGGTGAAGTAGAGGGTCAGGTTGTCCAGAGTTTGTGGAGTTGGAAGTTTTTAAGACTGGGCTGGATAAAACCCTAGAAAACACGATTTGATCCCATACCTGCTTTGAGAGGGAGGTTAGACTAGAGGCTTTCTGAGGTCCCTTCCATCTTGAATTATCTTATGATACAAAATCATACAATGATACAACATACATCCTATGATACAATATCATACAAAAACTGATACACGTGCACAAACCCCCTGTGCCTCCAGGCTGACAAAACAAATGCAATAGCAGTAAAATTGAACCTATCTGCAAGTACGTGCCCGTGTGTAACATCAGTTCTTAAGCTGCTAGCTCCTACAAGTAGGACACAGGCTGCAAAGCTGATGTATTTAAAGATACATCTCTGCTGCTTTTTTTTTCCCCCTATTTTCTTTTGTCTTCTGTGGCTCTAGCTCTCTGCTTGTTGTCCTGTAAGTGCCAGGTACTGCTTTGAAAAAACCAACCTTGTTATTTTTCTGAGACCATAGTCTTTATTAATCTGCTTGATCTAAACTATAAGGTAATGAAGGAAGCATACAGGTACATGGCCCTTGTTGCAGTTCTGGAATGGAAACAGCTCACTAAAATAGGCTAGTTATCAAAACAACATCACTTAGTACATTTCATTATCTGGATGGACTTTTTTTCAGTATGGAGGAAGCTTTTTCCCTGTAAGACTTTGGGAAATCTTATTTTGTAGAGCCCTTGCTTTGGATTTCAGTTGGCTTGGTTACTTGACAGCCACGTATTTGAAAGGACTTTGAATACTGTTTTATATTGATATAATGCAAAATATCTAATGAAAAATCTAGAGATAGAAATAGATGCTTGCAGATACCAGAAGACTCTTTGTGGAGAAGTCAGAATGGAGAACACTTGGTTTTATATCCTCTATGTGGTAGAAGAAAAGACTTTTTAAACCATTATTGTGAAGGCCGGAAGTACGTGCCTGTTTTTAGACTTTGTAGGTGCAACCTTGGGTAAACTTACTACTGTTTTTGCAGCCTTTTTCACAGTTTGAAATAACTGTTGTCCCACCTTGTAGGGCAATTCACCACTTCTTTGGTCATTTTTGAAGGGTCAAAAGGCAGACGATGTAAAAATGAAAAATACTGTCTGTGTGGCCATTAATACATGTTGCCTCCATTGCAGAAAATGGTTTGTTTTCTTTTTAACACTGTCAAGAAATGGAAACTGGAAGTTTCCTATTAATTTTTTCCTGTATGAACATTGGAGCATATTTTTGTATATGAACATCTGACCAGTGCTTCATAGTGTAAATTTTGTAAGCTACATTAAATTTTGCAGCCTTACAAAAATGTTGCATAGTTCTTAGGTGTTGGAATTGCTGGAACCTGGGAATGGAGAGTGTGTAATATGTAAACTGGGCAGATACCATCAGCTAGCAATAGCTTTCCTGTGCTCTCTTTTAAAAAGCAAGAACAAAACCCCCTGAAATTTGGATAAGACTTTATTTGGGATTATTTAATACTATTTCTATCATGTTATTAAAGAAAACACACCCAAAACTTGCAGGTTATTGTTTCTTGCTACAAAAATGGCAAGAATAAAACCACTTGCATTATTGAACTGGAGAGTGGGCATTTGTTGTTGGGTTTTTTTTGTTAGTTCATTTTATTTTTTTATTTTTTTTGTTCTATGAAAAGTAAAGACTTTTCCCTCAATGTTTTAGAGTGTAGTGTCTGGTTTGTGCTGAACAAACGTTGGCAAATCTGTTTGGTTGGCAAATTGATTCTGACGTCTTAGTGTGAGGTACTTTCTGGGGGCAAATGGGCAGAATTAACCTGACTGTAAGGTTGTTAGGCCTTATATGTCATTACTTTCCAGTACTTTAAAGACTGATGTTTGTATTTCCCTTTGTAATACTTCTTCATAATGGCTACTTGTAGCTTTGCCATGGAAGGAACTTGTGACCATCTTCATATTCATCTTCTTTCTACAGAATAAATAGAAACATCGCTCTTACCTGTAGTAAAAGCTTTCCTGTATGCATTGTTACTAAAACTCTTTAAAAAGGTGGATTTAAAAATTTATCTTGCCATTTTACCTTTTATTAGCAGGAAATGCATACTTACCTTTGAAATATTTGTATAATTTTGCAAGTTATGAAATGGATTATTTTTAGTAAAAGTACAAAAACTGTAACACCAGAAAAATGGTTCTGTGCAGTGTAAAATTTGCAACAGTAAAACCTGCAATAAGTCTGCTCTGCTCATTTCCACTGTGGGATCAGTATTGTGAAATATTACTGTTTACACATATTTGTGGCACATTGTGTGGCTAAATTTAGTGGATATTGAGGGTAATAGCTTGTTGCTAAATCCATACAAAGTTATTTTTGGGCTGCCTAATAACCAATCCTATATAGTTTGGGTGGTTCAGAGATTTGCTAAATCTTCCATCTCTGAGGACTGTGATGGAGAGGTTTTGGCTCTTTTTGTCTTGCAACCCCTGTCTTAAGATACATTGACAAAACAGTTTATTGGAATAAAGCCGTTATGTGATGTTATCACTATTACAAGATTTAACTGTGCAAAACCAGTGTTGTGGACTTTGATTCAGAGCTGATAATGACATTTTAAGAAGACTTTGATAGCAGAAATTATGTTAATCAAAGATATATTAACTAATAAATACCCTGTGCTGCATTTCCTCTGTTCAGTGATCCCTAATGAAACTTAATATTTTGAAAATCTTGTATTAACTGATGTTGGCTTTGCTCCCTTGTTTCTTTTTTTTTTTTTGTCTTTCCATGTATTCCAAGACGTTTCTTGATTCTTGACTTGATGAATTTTCCTTAAATATCTTCATTTTTATATATTTGTCTCTAAACTGTTCTCTCTATTTTACTTCCCCCTCTTACTCAGTTTTCTCTTTCCAGGAAAGTGTACTACATTTTGCCAGTTTATCCCTTCTGTTGTCTTTTACACACAGTGGGTGGAATGGTGACTTTGCTGATGATGACCAGTGAAACCACCAGCCATAACAGCAATAAAAATGTAGTAAGGGAACTGCTGTAGGGTAGTGCCATAATGGGACAGAGTATTTGCATTGTAGGTGTGTAGGAAAGGCAGAATTCTCTCTTTTTGCTGATGGTCCCTGAATTTTGTAAAATAACCATAGTCTTGCGTCTGGCTGGCACGTGACTAATCTGAAATTTCCAACTGTAATGAGAAAGAAAGGACACAGAAAGCATTGAAGAGAGGGAAGGAAGGAAAAACACCAGAAAGGCAAGAGGACAGGAAATTCACTTTGTAGCAATCAAAATGAGAGCTTGTGCACAAGCACTGAGGCTGCAGTAGTGAAATTAAAAAACAAGAATAATGATGCTCTATTTGGAACACTGTTACTCATGTATTTGCTGAAGTAAAAGTAACTTAGCTTTTTCCTCTGCTTTGCTACTCTTCCTGCTTATTCTGACACTTGGTGACTAGTTACAAGAAGTCTGAAATTGGAACACTTGGGAAGATAGAAAAAAACTAGTCAGAAATTTTGTGATAAAATTCCTAAATGTAGCAGCATGTTGAATTAGAGGAAAAGCATCAGCAGAGACAGGGCTTAGAGAAACTATCTCTTGGCTGACTTGTTTTCTTGAAGCCTCGTTCAAAGTTGAACAAGAATGTTGTTGTCGTTTGGTCAAACCAGGACAAATATGGGTGATGGAATTCAGGTTTTGACCTGTGAGTTTTACTTTCTGTTTTGATACAATATATCATCAGTTTCACTCTTCTTGTTAGATTGTTGTTGTCAGTCTACTTGAGAGGGGAAGGAGGTAGATCTTGTTGCTCCTCTGAACAAAGTCCGATGAGGTTTTCCTATCTTGAAAAAGATTTAGTTAATAGGGTTGCAAATGAGAATCTGCAGTTTGAGGCTAAGACGTTGGGTTTTTAAAGTTCAGTGAGAAGAAGTTGGCAACTTAATGGTTATGAAAACATTTTGTATTTCTGAAATGTACGGATGAGACAAATGCAACAAGAGGTTGGGCTGCCTGTGCGTTCTCATCCAAGGGTGAAACGTGGCTGAAGTAATTGCAATAGTAACCTAGAAAATTGGAGAGAAGTTTTCTCATTCAGGAACTCCTGAAATATTTAGATGTTGGAAAGCTGTATGCATCGCTGCAACTGAAGAACGAGGACTGGAGAAATGAAGGAGCAAATTGAGTTCGACACCTTTTGTTTTAATGCCCTGTTCTAGTCACCAGGAAATAAGGAAAGCCTGTACTTCCTGAAAACTTTTATATTTTAACCAGAACATAGTGCTAAAGACTTCTTTATCAGCACTGGCATTATTTTGGAGAGGAAAATATGAAAAATGGAAAATGTTGACAGGGTTCCTGTGTGTTAGTTATTTCTAGTTGATGGAATTTGCAGTAGGGCTGGAAATGGGTTACTCGAGCTCTGCTCTCTTACTGCTGCTCCACAGTAGCTAGAAAAACACATTTCCCCTTAATGAAAGTGAAAACCAGCCATCCTATTGCTGTGATTGTTCTTTCAATACATGTCTTGTTAACTTTACAGCAGCTCCAGTATGTATTCTGGAGAAAATTTGATGATTTAATTAATATTTTCTGCGCTTTTGAATGTGTTTCAATACTTTTATGAAGGGCAGTAGGAGCTGAATTCTTCATCGTTCCAATTTTCTCTGCACTTCATAGTGGAAATAATGGGATCTAATAATTTTGGTGAAGGAAATAGTGTGATGCAACCAGTTTGTGCCTTGTTCCCTTACTGCAGTTTTGTGAAATACAGCACTTTGGTGAAACCGGAATAGTAAGGCTGCCTGTAATAACAATTGCTGAAGTTAAAGAGACTTGCTGTTTTGCCCTACAAATGTAATCTCAAACTTTATGGTTCCTTATCTTCATCCATGCCGCACCTGAAATTAGACCCTAAGACTTTCTCTCATTGCAGCTGAGTCCTGATTAGTTCTACTGAGCTCACATAATGTTTGCTGAGAGTAAAATCCACATGTTAATTAAGACTGACATATTAATGTTAGTGCATGTGGAGTTACAGAGAGATACTGCAATAATAAAGTTACTATGAATCAAATTTAATGGCAGTGAAATAATGGAAGTTAATTTATAAATTAATAAGCGGCTTAGATTCAGTAAGAATCTTCTGTTGACTTCTGGATTTGGTTAGTTGCTTGGATTTGTCTGGAATCAATGGTATAGTTTGAGCTTCTCATACAATAAAAGTAATGAATGTACTCCTAAAACTATTTTATATACTTCCCATCCCCAAGCAAATGAAAGCTCTTACAGGATTTTATAATAAAGTTTTAAAAACTAATAAGCACAAACTTGTAACGTTGCTTTCAGGCAGTCTTGGTCTAGGAGTTTGAAATTTCAGTGTAGTTACCTGACTAGGATGGAGCTGATGATATATCGTTGATGTGTATAAATAACTCTTAAACTAGATGCTATCCTGCTATCGATCTAGCAACTTCATCTTTTTCAGACTTGAAGATTTTTTTTAGTACAAGGTGTAGTATAATTTTCGGAATGGTCACGTAATCATTGTTGCATGCAAAAAAAAAAAAAAACCCAAACCAGAAACTGTGAAAAAAGCTTTGGGATTTATCCATTTATGTTTATCGTTCAAGGTATCCATCTCGTATTGAGAAGATAGATTATGAAGAGGGGAAGATGTTGGTCCATTTTGAACGTTGGAGTCACCGCTATGATGAGTGGATTTATTGGGACAGCAATAGGTTGCGACCCTTGGAGCGACCAGCTTTAAGGAAAGAAGGGCTGAAAGATGATGAAGAATTTGTTGTAAGTGGCACATTTATTTTGTTTTTGACTCTTGTCCTACTCGTTTTCCTGCATTGAATCTCCCTAGCTCGTAATGTTTAATTCTTTTTAGGAAAAAATCTGAATGATTAAAATATTAATGATTAAATTTGTATTAAATAGGATTTTAAACCTGGAGAAGAAGTCCTAGCTCGTTGGACAGACTGTCGGTATTACCCTGCGAAGATTGAAGCTATTAATAAAGAGGGTACGTATTCATGTATGGTCCATTGGTAAGGACTGTTTTCTTGTGCTGTGCTGTAGTCTGCTTAAAAAATGCATATAAAGTTTTCCTCATTGCCTCAGTCTTAAGTGAAAATGTTTCTATTCTAGGAAATTTAGTAGGAGGTTTGTCTTTTATCTGTGTGAAATTAAACAATTGGAATTTCTCCTGGAAAACAAAATGTGTAATGTTTCCTCAGGGATGAGAAGAATATTTTGTGACAAATATTTTGGACTGTTGTTGATTTGGGCTAATGATACATTTAAGTTTTCAAATTGTTTTAGGAATGGTAGGTCTCTTTAAAGTTCCGCTTATTGAAGAAAAACAATGGAAATAGGTAAATAAAGAAACAATTTAGATGCAGTACTTCACAGTGGAGTGATATTTCTAATGGATATAAGTAGAAGTTGAAGTTTTTACTGTAGTTTAAAGCAGATGAGGATTTGATTGTGAATTGGTTTCCATATCATGGCAACTTAAATATTCTACTTCCAGTGGATTATGAGCAAAAATGACACAGTAGGTTAAATGTGCTTGAAATTGTCCAAGTGGACAAAGAGCGACTCTAAAAGCAGGGTTTCATTGAGCCTGTCATTTATTTTTATTAAAATTCTTGGTCCTGACTGTAGGTAGCACCTGGTTACTTTGTTCGTACAGCCTACAAAACATTTTGCTAAAGCTTTCATAGCAACAAGGTGTGTTTGTTTGTTAACTACTGATAGTGATTACATCAATCCTCTTCTAGGAACATTCACAGTACAGTTCTATGACGGTGTTATTCGTTGTCTTAAGAGGATGCATATCAAATCTATGCCAGAGGATGCAAAAGGGCAGGTAAGAATACTTCAGCTATCTCTTTGTTAGGTTTTATATTGGTTATTTTTTTTAATATCTTGAGTAAATGTCATCTAGCACAACTAGTTTTAGATTACAGTCTTTATTTTAGGTCCTGCACTGCCTTGCTTCACCAGTTTTATGGATGATGCCCCAGAGTGTGCTGCACAAGTAGTCTTGCTGCTACCTGAAATGCCTAGCTGCCAAACACTCCATTGCCAACTAATCTGTTCCCAGAGTTTTGTCTTGCAGAGTTTACAAGATCAGGGGCACCCAGACACTTTTTCCTCTCATGTCCTTTCAGAAAAAAGCTTTACCTTGTCAGTAGGCTGTGCTACTGATTTATTTATTTATTCCCAGCCCCACCTCTTTTGTTTGCCCACATGTTCTTGTTAACTTGGCTGCTCTGTGGGGATTTTCTTCCCTGTATCAGAACTTTTGAGGATTCAGACAGATAAGTATTTCTTTATCTCTGATAATGTCCAGTTGCTGTTAAAGAAAAGCTGCTGAGTAGAAGCTGAGGGAAGCTGTGAAGTAGAGGATATGATGTCGTCACTGGGCATATCTTCACTTGCAAAAGAAAACATCATTGAAAACTGTTACATGCTCTCAGTGGAAATACCATTGCATTTATCTTGCATGGTAACTGTATTCTGATAGTTAATGGGAAGTTGCTCCACTGAAATCATTCAAGACTGGGAGACAAGAAATGTGAAAAAAAAATAATTTCATTTGCTCCCAGTTTTCTTTAGAATACTCTGTCTAACTTGACAAACAAAATCCAGGGATTTCGTAATTACCTTTGCAACCACCTAGATTGTGACAAGGGCAGATAGATAAGTGAAATGGCTTGAAAACATTTCTATATCCTGGCCTCCAGGTTACGGGTGGCTGTGTACTGGGACTGATCATCTATGCAAACAACACCGGAACTTCGTGCAGGCCACACTGCGCTACTTAAACTGTGTTTCCTTAAAGAGATTAAACTGAGATCCGTAGTCATGCTAACACTGGCTTCTTGCTGCAGTCTTATGATAACTCTGTTGAACCAGAATATAATATTTCAAACAATATTTTCAGTATGACAGTAAGTTAGGAAGTTAGAATATTTCATTTTACTTTATAAAAATGAAAACTTGGGTAACATGGTTGTGACTGAACTGAAATAGCCCTTCTGTAACAACTTAAAGAAGTCCCTTACTTGGTCCTGTGCTTTTTCTAGGGAGCTATGTTGTGTCTGATATTGAGTTACTACTCTTAGGCCAAAAGCATTTTCAGCTTCAAAAAAAAATAATAGTAAATCCATTTCTTAGCAACCATTTAGATGTCCAGACACGCTCGGTGGCAGTCCAGCTCGTCTAGCATTTCTAATTTTTCTCAGTAGCTGAGAGTTACAGTGTCGGTCTCATGCATCACAGGGGCTGAACGTTGGTGGCCTCAATGAAGTCTTGAGAAAGAATAAGGGCACCAAATTTACGCTTTCTGAGATGGCTTTAGAATTTTTAAGTTGCCTTGCAGCAAGAACAACGCTAATTACACTTTCTATAATGCTAATCGATACTAGTCTTAGTATTTCATTTTGCAAAATCAGAGTTAGGCATGAAGTTCTGTAGCTTTCAAAGGCGAAGATACTTTTTGTTCTGAAACATCTACATTGTTAAGCTATGGTCAAATGTTTGTTTTTCAAAATATTTTTGTGGTATTTAGGAATAAAAATGTGATCTAAGATTTGGTATGAAGATCAGTTATCTGAAACTGAGCTTTGTACAAGCCTAGAACTCAAATGAATGTTTTTGGTTTTTTTTGTATTATTTATTTTATAGGAAGATATTTACTAAAAATTATGTAAGTATTAAAAAAAAATTGCTAAGATTATAATTTGATTTGGAAAATAGCAGAGTTGACAGATCCATAACTTCATGCTTAATTTAAACCTGCCTTTTTTTTGTCTGTTTCCAAAGAAAAAAGTTCATTTCAAGTGATGAGCGTTATCTTAAGATACTTCAAGTTCTAGGACATTAGCTAATTTAACAAATGTAAGATCTGTTTGGAAGGTGTGTGCGAAGCAGAATTTGAATTACACAAAGAGAGTTATAGACTAGTTTAGTTAATTCTTTGAGCTTAATGTGACTTACTTAAGGGAAGAGATTGTAAACACTGCAACAACCTATTTTTGAGTTGCAGCAGAAGTGGGCTTTAATAAGACTCAGCTGTGAGTGTTGAAAGGCAGAAATTTTAAAGGGTGGAAAATATTTGTGTGGCTCAATGCAATGAGCGTTAGGTTACTCTGCAGATAAGTGCAAATTAATTGAAATCACACAGAAATGTGGGTAATGTAGTACAGAGAAAATAAAAAAAACGATGGGGATATTGAGACTGCCCTTGTGGGAGCACATATGAAGTGTTTGGATAACTTACTTTTTCTGTTTCATGTTTTTTGTTTTATCTTCGATATAATTAGGCGCGCGAGAGGGAGCAGATAGCGCCGGAGCTGAGATTAGTGACGGAAATCGAACCAAAAGAAGTGAGTTTTGAGGAGGGTTTTGAAGGAGAGGGAGGGGACTTTGCACACAGGAAGAGGAAGCTGAGGAAAAAGCATGGATTTGCAATGGGGACAGAGTTAAAAAGAAGATGTGACAGACAATATGAGCCCAGATGTAGGTGGGGCAGACTTTTTAGGATCGAAAGGTGAGGGTAAGGATTCCAGGCTTGATGTGGAATCAGCCAGTCAATAGATTGATGATGCTTTATGTATGTGTGTGTACGAATGCATGGGCGTTGGGATGTGTCAGGAGAGAAAATCCAGCTGAATCTTCAGTACTGGTAGAGAAGCAAAAAGGTGGTGGTTGTAGGCAAGTGAAGAGAGAAGGATGCGTGTGTGAATTCTGCTGTTGGCACAAGGGCTGGATTTTAGAAATTATTCTGGTTTTTGCCTTCTTACTGTTGCAAGCTTAAGGTTATGCAAAGAAATATTTTAAAATACAAGTGTTATAGCCAATTGATGTGTAAGGCTGTTGGGTAATTTTTGCTAATGTATTTCTTGATAGTGCAATTTCCTGTGCTTTGATTTAGTGAATCTAATTAGCCTAATGACAGTTCTCCTCAGTAGTGATAAAGTAATGTTTTGTCTTCTAACTACCATGTCCCGTTACTTCTCTCCTGTCAGTTTTCTCAGCTTACTTGAAAAGTGAATTTTAGTAAGAATAAAAAAAGGAAACACACATTTTACTTTTTAAAGTTATATGTATAAATGAATAACTTTCACTGGGGTGAGATACTGTGGGAAGTTGGAAATCAGGCTGGATGGTGCAGAGTTACAAAACCACATCCAATAGAGTGACGATGTCAGGACACGAGGGATCAGTAGAGAAAACTTCTCTTAGGAGGATTCTGCTTTTAGTTTATTAATTTGTGATGTGTTCGTAATTGGGCACTTGGCTTTGTGTATGCTGAATGCTCTGGTGAAAAGTCCTGCTCTTAAAGGTTTGCAACTAGTTTCTGTGATATGTATGATATTTAGTGTCCTGCTGCCATGGTTGGTAGAGACGATACCTTAGAACAAGCCTGAGACAGATTTCAGAATTCATTGTGCTTTAGGCTCCCGCTTTTTTGTTAAATTTCTGTAACAATTCTGAAAAAGGAACGAAGGAAGAGTTCCTGTGCTTTTCAAAAGAAATATAATCACCTTAGCATCTTAGATGCTAACTAGTTCTCACGTGTCAGGAGCTGTGCAGCTGAGCAATCGCCCTGTGGGAGTTCAAGGTTAAAAAGCAGGAATTACCGGTGTGACTTCAGTGCCTATGTATCTGTCCCAGAGCCAAGGTAACAATGGACCCACAGAGTTTCTGGCCAATCCAGAATCACAAAATCGTTGTGGTTGGAAGGGACCCCTTGAGATAATCTTGTTCACCTCCCTGCTCAAGGTTCTCTTCACTGAGGTTGAATTTACATGTTAATTTAGACAAAAAGTATAACTATTGCCGTAATTAATGTCTCTCTGCTCCGGCTTCTGAATGTTTAACCTTTGTTTCCTTTGTTGTTACATGTGTCCCGCTACCCTTTGTGTTATGTCTTAAAGAAAGTATCCAAACAGTGAAATAAGATGCAAACAAAAAACCCCTTCATGTTGCACCAGAACAGCTACTGTTAGAACAGGATACATAGTTCTGTGTGGTCCTTGAAGCTCAGTATCTTTGGAAAGCTTCTGATTTTAGGGTGCTTAGCTTGTCTGAAAGCTAAAATACTGTTTTGATGCAGGCTGCACTTTGTTTGTTTCCCACTTTTATGGTAAGATCCAAACTCCAGCCATGTTACTGATATTCTTCATCCCTTGGCCAGGGTACAGTGTTAAGACTTCTACTCTCAGGTCTCCTAACCACCACAAATAGCTCAATCCTTTTTTTGTCCTGCTGGATGGGCAAGGCTCTGGATGGACTGGAGCTAATGTGTGTGCTCGTTTTGGCTGGCCAAAAAAGAGGTATGTGTGTTTTTGATTGACTCTGCAGCTGGCAGTTAGACACGCTCTTTGCGGCTGGCATGTCACCAAATGGCCTTGGTAGTTGCCTGTTGTGTAAGCATTGCCAAAGCGCTTCCAAACTCTCTGCTGCTGCTAGACTGAGAATGTGTCTTGCATTGACAGTTTGGACACAGAACACTTCATCTCAATCAAAACTGATGGTGTTTCTGAGTACATAGCTCATTGCAACGTAGAAGCGTAGCCTATGGAAAGCAGTGATTTAAAAGTATTGAGCTATGGGAAAGGAAAAGCATAATACAAGGAAAAACAATGCTTTGTATTTTATGTTATGCTTTTCTCGTACGTCAAAGAAGGCAAAGAAACCTCAGAATAAAAGTTTTAAAGGCTTATAATGAGTGGGGGAAAAGTTGCGTTGAAACAAGATTTATAAAATCAAGAGAATTTATGTAACTTGTATGATAATGTAACAAGGAAACAGTCTAGAATAATATGTAGTCTCTTCACAGTTGGGGATAAAAATGTTTTACTATTTGCAAAGCACTTACCTAAAACTAAAACAATAGTTTTAGTCATACCTTTTTTTATACGTCTGTACAAATCTACAAATACCCTTGTAGCCAAATTGTCATTAAATTAAATATTGTTCAAAGCACTCAGTTGCCTAATTCTTACTGATGGAGGATGAACATGGTTACTGGGTTTTATACGGTATATAACTACTCCATGGAAAAATCTCTACTTTGACACTATAGAAGATTTGAAAAAGTACTTCAGTAAAAAGGATCAAGTTAAAATTTTTGCAGTCAGATTGATCCCTGACGCTCAGGAGACACAAGGCAGGAGTCTGATCATTCCAAAGTAGTGGAAAGAGTTTGGCTCAGCCTTGGAAGTATTTAGCTCTCTCCGTTGACTTGTAGGTGGGTAGACTTCATCTGTATGCTAAAAAGTAGATGAATTTAGGCTGTATGTTCTGTTGTTCACTCCTTGGATTTTCCTATATGGTCAAATAAGCCATTATGCAAAATGTCACTTTTACTACCTTAAATATAGATTATGAAATTCAGTGATGTTATAAACACTTTATTGAAATTATTGAGTGAAACTTTTAATATGTAATACAAAAAGAGTGCTATCTGAGGTTATTCTAGGAACACAAATAAAATTAGAAAAGAATTGTCCCTGCTTTATCAGTTGAATTCAGGAAGAACTCTGCCCGATCACGCAGCTGGCTGGACCATGCTTTGAGTTGATTGTAGTTTTGAATAACAGTTAAATTCAAGCAACAATGGAATTGGTGTGTTTCACAGCCAGAAGGGTAAGAAAACAGTCAGACCGTTCTGGGTTTGGGAGCTCCTGGGTTTCTAATGCTAGGACACATAAAATAGATAGCAGGGAACGCGTGCAGCCAGAATTCTATACACAGTGGGGTTTTTTTTGAACTTTTTTTCTTTTTGGTTTTTATCCACGTGGCACACTGGTAGTCCTTCAAGTTTATTTAGACAATTTGGGAAACTTGTTTTACCACTCTTTGAGTAGTAGCCCTAAAAATAAATTCAACTGCTCTTGAACATTTCTAGATGAAGTTTCACTGGGTTTATAAGTATTTTCTGTTTGAATCTCAGGCACTTTTTAATACTTACTTACCATGTTTTCCTTTTTGGAGGATTGGATAGCTTTGGTCAAAGCTGCTGCGGCAGCAGCAGCCAAGAACAAAGCAGGAAGTAAACCTAGAACCAGCGCAAACAGCAATAAAGATAAAGAGGACAGAAAATGGCTAAAAGTTCCTTCAAAAAAGGAAGAAACCTCAACCTCTACAATCATGCAGGAAGTCCAAAAAAAGGAAGAGGAGCCTACATCTAGTGACACATTTGGTAAAAACGAATTCTGTAAAAGATAAAATAGGTTTTTTGGTAATGTTGAAGTAGAATTCCTGTTGTTAATTTTGCAATTAAGTAAGAACTAGTATTTCTAGAGAAAGATGTCTCATTTGCTATTATGATACATAAAATCAATCAGTTCAGAAACAATTTTTAGCAGATACATCTAGTTGTCATCATTTCCTACTTGAGCAAAACTTTTAACTAACTCTAACAAGAACAGAACATAGATTTATTTTTTTAATTCATCTTACACTTCTGTTCATATTCCTGCATCTGTCAGATAATCCCTGGTTCTGTTCTAAGAAAAAATATTCCAATACAGATGATAAGTCTGTGTTCAGGGATGTTTGAAACTGTTTCTGGTTTGATGAGAATTTGTTTGCTTTTATAGTCTTTTATACTACGTTTCTTAAATTTTGACGTAATCTGTGTGTTCAGAATGTGGCATTTGTATTTTTAATCAAATTTTAAAGTTACTGCAATACTCTTAATAGGAGTTCTGAAGTACTTGAGTGTTTTGGGTGTTGTAATGTATTTATGAAATGTGAGTTTATTAGATTTTTCTTCTGTTTAAAAGTAGGATTTCCTGTAGTGGATGTTCCAAAGATGGCCTTTGTGCAGGCAGAAAGCACGTTATCACACAAGAGGAAAAGTAATCTAGGCAACTCATTTCAGGCAAAGAGAGCTCGTCTTAACAAGATCACTGGTAAAATACTTTTTTTTAATTATTGGTTGTTTTCTTTTTTAATGTAGTGAAATATACATGCTTATGTGTAAGGTACTAAAGGAGATTGATAAAAGCACATTCATGAGACAAATACTTACTACAGTCTTTTACTTGTTTGGAAGTTTAAAGGAGTCTATAAATGGTAATAAAATCATAAATCCAGAGGACAGTCTCAGTCTTGACTTGGTCTTTTCAGTTTTCTAGGAAGGCAGCCATCCTGAAGTGATGAGTTTCTTGCATATGTTTTAACTCCAACTGCACAATTTTCTTTGTTATCGAGTGAATTTGGGGTTTGTACAAGTTCTTAACATGGTCATGAGTTACATAGCACTGCTGTAAATTAAAGCTTTTGTTAGCTGTGGAAAAGTTAAGTGTTTTTTCATAGTCATAAAGTAAAGCTGTTGCTGAAAAGAGTTTACAGTATTGTAATTTAGAAGTATACAAGCCTAGCTACAAGTTGAAGCAGTGAAGATCTGGAACTTATGTTTTTGTTTAAGACATTCATTCCCTACATTTATTACTCAAAGCTATTCAGGGAAGCAAGCAAACAGCTGTAGGATACAGCAGAAAATGGAATAATAGATAATTAGTCCTATATTTAAAACTTGGAAAATAGATTTAGTGCTAAAATTTTATAGAAATTTACTTAACCATGGAAGAATTTTTTCAATTTGTATCCCCCCCCCCCCCCAATAAGCAAATTGTGTTGCCAGCATTGATCCTGTCAGTATTTAGGATGAGGTAACGTGTTTGTGCCTGTGCTGGGAAAGTGCTTTTCAAAAGCTGGGTGGAAAAAAGTTGTGAAAAGTTTGCTGCCCCCATCCCCACCAAAGAGGGGCCCTTGGCCAGATCATAGGATAGAAAAGGATTCCACTCCTTCCTCTAGTAAATATTTTGTGTTGAGTCTGACAAACTTCTGTATGCTACAGGTAAGAGGGGGTTGGTTTGTTTGTTTTTATAGTAGATAGCATATGGTCACTCATATAAAAAGTCTTACTTGTTTGTATAAGGTAAAAATAACCTAATTTACTAAACTGATGAGGGTTTTTTTTCTGACTTGTGCATATGATTCCATTTCAGTCTCTTAATCAGTACTTCAATGTAAAGGAGAAAGTTAGTGAAATGGGCCAGTATGGAACATAATGTGAAGGAAGCAGTGTTTAGAAAAAACAATTTTCTGCTTCCAGGATTTTCTTTCCTGGAAGGCTTCCTATTTGGTATCTAGTTTAGTTAACAGATATCCCATCAGCCTCATTTCTACTGTCCTTTGCCCATACTGCATACACCCTCAGTTAAGTCCCAATTTAATTGCTGCCATGAGCAGAAGTATAAGATATATACTAGTGAGATATATTTACAGAACCCTGTTATTTCTTTCCAATAGCAGTTAGTAGCAGAAGGTACCAAAACCAGCTGAAAAACCTGTAGCTCTAGAAATCATATTTTTCTGTGCTTGTGAATAGATTTTCCTTTCCTAAGGAGCTTTGTGAGAATAATAGCAGTTGGATGGGCTCGTATAGACTGAACTGAATAATCAGAAAAGATAATGTTGCAGCCATTGACTTCATTATCATTCTGAAAACAGTGTCTGTCTCTCTGTCCGTGAGAGCGTACTCTGCTAGCAGAGAGTGTGTTACTGTTCAGTGAAAGTAAATGAATCCTTCAGTTACAAGATGAAATTTGTCATGCTTGGTAGTTACTTTGTGTAACTTCTCAAATTAACACACTTCTGCAATTCATACTGCATAGGGTTTTTATTGTTGCATGTAATGGAATATTTTGGAAATATCACTGCTGATGATCAAACTTTCTTTGTTGTGGATGGAGTGATGTACTTCACTTGGAAGAGGGAAGCAGCAATGTATTTGATGTAAAACAGCTATTTAACTAAGTTTGATATTAAATGCAACAGTGGTTTGACAAGATTTGAAGGCAAGGTACACTTAGTTACTGCTTAGAGGATGGGGTCAAACAAAATTATCAGGGAGACCCTCCCGTTGGGTCACAGGGTTCAGAAAGGACCCCCTTAGCTTTCTAAACCCCTTCTCAGAGAGGAGTCTGGGTTTGGCTGGATCCAATCCTAGTCCTAGACTTGGTTAATCCTTTATGGCTAAAGGATCAATCTAGAATATAACCTTAGTGAAGCTCCACAGTTCATCATGCAATTAGTCACTCACTGAGAATCTGTTGCCACAAGGACTCCCTCAGTCTCAAGGAGTAACCTTGAGAGGTGTCCCTACGCCAGGGGAGCTCCTGGTGTGCGTCCCGCTGCCGTGCAGGAGAACTCAACGGGCTCTTGAGCTGTTCACTGTGTATGGGGGTAAGATGACTGACCTATAGTGATACATACCCACCACAGATATTAGTTTTTTTATAGATTTAGCTTGAGTGGGACACTGACCAGCACTGTGGTTGGGTGGGCACCTCGCTATAAATTAGCTCTTGACTGTTGTGTTATGTGTCCCCCAAATCCACTTCGACCAGGTGCATCCATCATGACCATCACTGGTGGTTATCACTTGAGCAGGGTTGTGGGAAAAAGTCAGGTTGGGTGTGGGGAGCACACTGTCACACTCTTGCTAGGGGCTTATTTCTCATGCTTGAAATACTTGTAAGTTGTCATTTGTGTCTTTGAGCTTTTAGAACTGAAGGGAGGTTGGGAATCGTGCTGGTGTATCCATCAGAATGGCTACAAAAGAATCATAAAGCACTGTAGCTGTTAGGAAAATGGTCATTTACCAAGTGTTTTATGGCTCTCTTGGGAAAATGGAGCAAAAGATGTGGTTGTTGGAGGCTGTCTGAAGGGAACTGTTTTCTGGATTTCAACTCAATATTTGTTGTCTGCCACAAGGCCCACAGCTGTATCTGGTGTTCTTTGCTCACCATGCAACAAAGTCAAGTTGCTTCCTTTGCTCCTTTTTCTTCTTTTACTGGCAATTGGGGAAATTACATCTCCCGAAGGTGAAGGCTATCTCCTGCTAAGCATGTATTAATGTCATCTTCCAATTAATTTTTGCCTCTGTGGGAATACTTGCTTCTACATTTCCTGCTGCAGTGGTGTTACCTAAAAGAACAGATAACATCTGCAGCAAACTTAGAACAAATTACTTCTGGTTCGCTGTGCACCCCATGCTTTTTATTTATGTGCTGTTACTGAAAGTGGGTGGTGAACCTGTAGTCCTGCTGCTGGAGGAGCTTGGGGAGTTGTTTGCCTTTCTGCAGGCATGCTAATTGGTTAGAAAGATACCTAATGGGGTAGAGAAGAAGGAAATAAGAAGAGTTATATATTCAAAGAGTCTGGGTTCATTTCATACCTTTACTTCCTGAGCACTGAGTATCTAGCTAGAAGTGAAAGTCATAGAATGGTTTGGGTTGGAAGGGACCTTTAAAGGTCACCTAATCAACTAGATAAGGTTGCTCAAGGCCCCATCCCACCTGACCTTGAACACTGCCAATGATGGGGCACCCACATCTTCTCTGGGCAGCCTGTGGTTTGTAGAACCACAAAAGATGCCTTAGAGACTGTAGCTTGTTGTTTAGTACTTAAAACTCTACTTCACTTATTTTTTAAAATTAATTTATGCTTTTCATTGTAGATGTATGGTTGTCAGTATAAGGAACATTGCTAATTTTGCAACTTGATTTAGTGTAATTTGGGTCAGGTTTATTTATGCAGAATTGAAATCTTACCTGATAATTTTATTTATATGAATTTAAATAAGGCTAAGTAAGTTTCTACTTTTCAGTTAACCTATTTAGCTGTAACATCAATTAAATTGCACCTCTTGTTATGGATGTGGTGTTCTGAAAAAGTGTGGTTTTTTTAAAATACAACTAATTTCCAGTAAATTGAAGCACAGCTTAATCTAAGGTAAAGAGTAAATGGAAAAAAAAATTATTGTGGAATGCTTGAATGTGGTAGACCTGTAGCAAAATACCACATTGTTTTTTGTATGCATATTTTTGTTGGGTTTTTTTTTAATGTCCTAAAAGCTTGCTGAGAGCCCAGGCTTTGCTAATTTGTAATTCCTTGGCCATTGTGCACTCTAAATTAATTTTAAGCGTATCTAATTTTTCACGGAATGCAAAAGGAACGTCCTCTGGATCTGTAAGCTCAAGCTGGTTTTGAGGACTTGAACTTTTCCACCCCCAATATTGACGTTCCCAGGAATTTTAATAGTAACTTTTATTCAGATTTGCTTTTTTAGGTTTTATCAGTTCTGCTTTGTCTTATGGCATAGAACTTTTTCCTTTTTTGTATATTTAGGTGATTGAAATTACAGTGTGAAGCGGAACTGAAACTTGCTATATGCTTAGTGAACAAAAAGCTTCCTCATATTTATGTTGCCCTGTCTTTTACAGATTTTTTCTTTTTTTATGGTAGTGATATTGTATATAAGTTAATGAATAAAGTGACATTTTCTGATATGTTTACTCCCAGTATGGTCTTGTTATTGGGGTAATTTGGGAGCTCCACTGCTGACAATATTCATTTGGAATTTAAATCCCATATTCTGCCTAAGAAAGGTTTACGTGTGTTTGAGTTAAGAAGTAGTAATAAAAAGTCTGATGGGAATTTCTTAAAGACTGGGAAGGGGAGAGATAAAAAAAAAAAGGTTTTAAATAATTTTGATTTCTTGGTTTACTTAATTATCATAGGCTTGGTTTTAAAGCCCAAGCACTTGGGCTTTAAAAGGATGGTGAGGCATTATTTTACAATTGATGATTTGATTTTTATCTTGTTAGAAGTACCTCTTGTGAAAGGGCAGTGTCATGGGAACGTCCTTTAACTTTTTGTTTGTTCTAATTTAGAGTGTTCAGCTTTGTGTGGAACTGTTTCAGAGAGAATTACGTTGTAGATAGAGGCAGTTCATATTTATTGTCTCGCTGTTTTGCTTTGTTTTCCCCAAATTTTGTCGCAAGCTGCTTCTAACTAAAAAAAACTCTGCAATTTTTCTCCCAAGGTTTATTGGCATCCAAAGCTGTTGTTGCGGATGGTGCTGAAAAAAAGGAAGGCAACAAAGAAACAGCTCCAGTCCTGGAGCAGGTATGAAATGGTAGAGTTTGATTCTTTTGCAAGGTTCCCACTGGAGTGTGCCATGGAGATATAGTACCTACAACATTAAAATTTGCCCCTTCAGATATAATAGGGAACTTAAAATTGATCTTATGTTTACATTTCTGGCAGAGCCAGAAGTATGGAATTTAATTGTCTCTAAACACAGTGTTGACTTGAATTTCAGTAATGAGCTTTTGTGTTAGAAAACTAACAGGAAACAAAGAAAAATGAAGTCTCCGTGCAACAAACAAGGAGACCAGTGTCCCAAGGTCCAGTTTTATAGCTGGAACCCTGTGACTGGCTTAGGAAAAGGCCCTTACACAGATTTGACTTGTGTTTGAAACAGGGTTTTTGACATCAAGTAGAACTTCTTTTAAAAGAAGTTTCTTTTATATTGTAAGAATTTGGTGTTGTAGGCTTGTATGTGTTTTATGAACCGCTCAATGAGCCATACATTTTGCAAGGGTGTGTATTTTAATAAATACAAAAAAGAAACTTTTAAATAATGTTAAGGGTCTGATTTTTAAACCTGCGTATCTGCAGGACCTGCTGCCATTTTATCTTTGACTTCTATTGTGTTTAGGCATTGCTGGACTCCAAGCTGTGCATTATCTTGCATATTAAAAGGGCTGAATGCCTAAGCACAGTAAAGCAAGCTAAGGATGAGCAGTAGTCTTGATTCAGGACATCCTTGTTTTCCAGTGATTTAAATCAGAGCCTTAATGTAGTTTTAATACAGCTTTTTTGTATTCATTTTCGTTCTCTTTTAACAGCAGCATTTGAATAAAATAGCCTTGCTGCCCACAATTCTTGAAAGAACACTTCTTCTGTTCTTAAGCCCCGGCACACTCTATGAACACTCCCTACCCTAGACTTTTCTTTGATATTTTGGTTGTACTGGTTCTTTAGAGCTGATATATAACTGCATTGCTGTGGTTTTTCCATTGACGCCGCATCGGCTGCGAGTCCTGTCAATGGAACACCAGTTTCTGTCTCTAATGCTGTCACTGTAACGGCCCAGGGAGCCCCTACGGTGTCGATGCATTGACCCATATTTTTGCATCAAGGTTTACAATGTATTGACATGACATTCCATTTCTCAAATTTTTTGCATATTAAAGATGCTATGGTTTTTATTGCTCCTGTGTGTGATATTTTCAATGTGCAAAAAACTGTGAAATGGCTTACAGCATGTTGTTTTGGGAAGAATCATTACAATGTAAATCTTACCATGCAGAATCCCATTGCGGTGAATGGGACTTTGTGGTTTACATAGACTGTGTATGCAACAGTATAAACTACAGTGCATATTTACTACAAACTTTTTTGTTACTTCTTAGACTTAGTAACTCGGCTGTTTCTGTTTTATTGATTAGATATTGAAAAAAAAAAAGATGTCTCTGTCATTGTTTACACGCTAATGGTCTGAAAAACCTCATTTTTGGGAATACTAGTTAAGCTCCTTTAAAGAGGCATCTAAAATCCCAAATTGTCCTTTTCCTTCACTTCTAACTAAAAACAGAAACCTCACAACTATTTAAATGATTAACTCTGTGGGGAGGAAAATTTTTGAGCTTAAAGCTTTTTTTGCTAATTTCCTGCTCAAATTCAAATTAAAATGGCCGAGTTATAAACCTCCCCTAAAGGTTTTCCAATAGCAAAGCTGACATTCCTTAGAGGTTTTGTCTGCTGCTGCTATAAAGTTGAATGGGTAAAATATCCTGTAGGGTTTTTTTTTTAATAATGTGATACGGAACATGGTAGAAGTATTCAGGCCAATAGCCGAAAACTGACTTTGTTGATGGAAGTTTATTTTATTTATATTTATATATTTTTAGTTTACAGTTGTTTTAAACCCAAAACCTCAGACGATTAGTTTCAGATACAGTAGTTTATTTAACTGTATTAGGGTATGTCATGTTATATTTCCTTTTGACCAAGACCTGATTAGATGAATAACATTAATTCATTAAGGTTTTTAATGTTAATTTGTCCTGTTAAGAGGTTAAGCACCTTATCAAAATATTAATTTAATTTTTTTAATCTTGTTTAAATAACTTTGTAATTTGGAAGTAATGGATGCTGTAGTAATGTCTTTCACATCTGTGAAGATGAACAATAAAATTGTTTATTTACAAGTTATGACTCTAATTAATTTCTGGTAATACCTTTCATAACCAGCATAGGCATACTCTACAGTTCATGGAATATTTTATTTAAATGAATAAACTGCACTTAGTACATGTGTAACTGAGTTATTCAAGGTAGAACTGGTGTCTGCTGAATGGGATGTTTTGCACCGGATCCTTACATGATAATTCCAGCAATCTATTCATGTAGCATTCAGGGGTACCTTTTTATGAACGTAGAAAACTTGGGGTTTTTTGGTTTGCCCTTTTTTTTTTTTTTCCAGTGGAATATTGAAAGTTCCAGTGGAAAATCAAATTGTGATTTATAACAAAACCCAGTAATACCCTCAAATGATCAGAGATGTGATGTTTTTTAGTTTGGATAAAGAGGTGCACACATTCTAGAAATACCTTTCTACTTTCTTAGTTATGGTTTTATTAGATGGTACCATGCTATGTGATATAACTGGGAGAAGGTTTAAGAAATCATGTTCAGATATATTAGTTTGCCTTTACTGGGCAAGTTGTAACACATGCACAGTTTATTCAGTAAAGTCGGAAGATCTTCCTTCCAGTTAAAAATCTAAAGTGCTGATGTCTGTCAATGCATGCTAATTGTCTAAAAATAATACTTCAGTATGTGTGTTAAGGATGAAAATTGAAATTGGAAAGCTGCATTATATCTTGATTTTTTTTCTTTTTTCATCAAAAACTGTTTTAACTCTTTATCTGCTCGTTTTTCCCCAACAGTTAGCAATCTATTTAACCCTGTGGTGCTAGAAGTTGTGATTTCTTCATGTGTTTGCACAAACATATAATGTGGTGAAATCCAGACTCCCAGCACTGAAAGGGGTTGTGTGAGAGTGTGTTCAGTATTTGGAAACCTTCTGTTGTTTTCAGACATTACTTAAAGGAGCATTATCAACTTTTTCAGGTTCCTCTTTAAAAATGAAATTCGTACTAAGGTTTTCCTGTGGCACTTTTAAATTTTTCTTATAAAGTCAGGGAAATCCCTGTGAAGGGGAAATCTTGACAGCTTTTTTTTTTTTGCTTGCTTATAGCAGTGCAAAAGCCTCTTGGAGTTCAAAAAGCATCATCCAGATGCTCTTAGTCTTATAGATTAGTCCTGCAAGGAGCAGGAAGTTGGATTTGATGATCCTTTCGGGTCCCTCCCAACTTGAGATACTCTATGACTGTAGACCAGTGTGTACATTCCGGCTGGTAACAAGTGTTCTCCATCTTAAACTTTGAGACAACACTGACAGTCCTGGTCTACGGAACATGAAAGAGACAGAAACTAAAAAGATTTTGGTGAATTTGTAAAATGGCGATAGAGGAAAAAATGTTTTGTTTTCAGGCTTTTTCAAATAATATAAAATAAAGGGTGTTCAGAATACTGAAAGTGATAGTGCTCCTTTAAAAGCAAAAAAAAAAAAGTTTTAATGTGATGCATTTTAAATAGTTTTCATTTGTATTGAAACTAATGTTGCTTTAAAATGTGTTTTGAATACTAAAGTTGCTTTTAAAAAGATCAAAATAGAATGCAAGAACTACAGCGAAGAAACTGAAATAAAAGTATCAATTTTTTATTATTTATTCAGGAGATTTCACCTAAACCACAAAGTCAGAAAAAAAATGAAGCTGATATTAGCAGTTCTGCCAACATTCAGAAACCTGCACTGTTATCCTCAACTTTGTCTTCAGGAAAGGCTCGCAGCAAGAAATGCAAACAAGAATCTGGAGATTCTTCTGGGTGTATAAAGCCCCCTAAATCACCACTTTCCCCAGAATTAATACAAGTCGAGGATTTGACGCTGATCTCTCAGCTTCCTTCTTCTGTGATAAATAAAACTAGTGAGCACAGACATTTTAAAAAAAATACCGTAATTACTTATAAGAGATATACAGAAATTTTTTGGGGTTGTAAATGGCTATTGCTTTGAAAAATGAATCTGCTTTAAATAAAAGGTCCAAGCGGGAGAATTAGGGGTAGCTCAGTATTATAAAAGTCACCTAATAAGGCGTATGAGTTACTCTACTGGAAATAATACATTTAAATAATACATTTATATTTTTTAAAGTCGTGGCTTTTAATTGATGGCTTTCTCTCCAGCTTAAATCTCCACATTAGTATTAACAGTGATACAGGAAAAAAATCAAACCTCCCATCTGAAGGGGCCTGATTCATTAAAAAGAAAAGATGTGCACCTTGGTTGTGGGCCTTCCCTTCTCTCAGAAATTCTGCCCTCAGCAGGCTGCTGTGCTGTCCCTGTTGCTGGCTGTGGCATCCTTCACCTTATGTGATATTTCCTGCAAATATGATGCAAAAGAGAAGATGGGTTCAAGATGTGTGGTGGGCGAATCTAAACAAAATCGGGTTTCTTTGTCTCAGAAAACCGCTATAGGTGTTCAGCTTCTTGAGATGTGCAACTGATTTGCAAAGTACCAAAATATTGGCTATCAGAAGAACAGGGAAAGTTTTATGCTGCATCCTTAAATATGCTATTTTTTATGAATATTAGAATTTTTTTTTTTGAGTTTACTTTAGGCTTTTAGTGTTGCTTACAGTCAGGCTCTTTGTTACCTGCCTCATTTAATGATGAGGCCAAGAGTTGCAATAAATGTGGGTTCCAATAAGTCAGAAGCTACATTTTTATTTCACTTTTAGAATAGTGATTGAGGATGGAAGACTATACCTGCATCGTGTGTTCTCCTTAACCTTGATTTGATATTTTCCCATAGGAGTGAAGTTTCTCATAATCCTTTCTCATACATAACTTTAAATGAATGGGAGAGGGAGGGATGCAAATTCAGCCATCTTTATTTATTCAGGCCACACTGATAAAATTACATAATGTTAGCAGTCTTCTATATTGTAATGTGCCTTCCCTCCCTTCCCCTAAACTAATGGTAAGTAGTTTTCCTTGAGCATGTTTATATTTTGGATTAAGTTAGACTTCTCTGTAGTGATGTTTTAAAAATTAGCTAATTTAAAACTTGGTTACTTAGATCTTGTTAGTGCTGTCACTTAATCTTTGGCTTCTGAGTCTTTGCCACCTCTAATGGAAATTTAATTTTGCTGCATATTTATTTTTAAACCTGTACTTCTTTGACTGTAAAAACTGCTTAAGAAAAGGAGAGAACAGTAATTTACGGTGTGATGATGACTTAAATGTTTTCTAAGGAAAACGTTTGTGAAATGGGGTAAAATTGGAGAGGTGTAGGGGAGTGTGGGTTTTTTGTTTTTAATGAATCAGGCCTACATTAACCTATATCAATTGCCCCTCCCTTTTTTTAATAAAAAAAAAAAGTATGAGGTTCTTGAGCCTTCTTACTGTGCCATGCATTGGCACTGTGCATTTGAAATGTAGTTGGAGTATTGATATCAGGTTAGCAGGAGACAGGAGGTGGGATATAAAATTAACCACTGCTTTTGATATTATTTTTTTCAAGTTGTATGTTACCACGACCCATGAATTTTTAGATCTTTAACTGTGATCATTTGTTCTGCTTACTTGTTAAATCCTATTCCCCCTTCCATTCTAAGTAGCCTACTCTCATGGGTTATCTGGGGGGGTTGCTTATTGTAAGTACAGTGTTTGCCTAAAACAACAGCCTTGATCAGTGGGGAAGTACATGCCCTCATAATGTATAATAAGCAAAAAGCAGAATCATATCATAAGCATAACTCTTTTTTTGCTCCTGGTAATCGCAGTTTTTAATTTTACCAGTTCTGCTGTGATTACCAGCTTTGCAAATAAGAGCTATTTAAAGCACTCCCCTTCTTTAGATCTCAAATACTGCGGTAAGATTATGGTCTATCTCTCTGCTTCATGAACATTGAAAGATCTCTTTTTAGGTCCATCACAGCCAGTGAATTCCCCTAGATCCTACAAACATAGCCAACGGAGAAGAAGATCACAGCGTTTAGCCACTTGCTCCTTGCCTGATGATTCTGTAGAAAAAGTTTCTTCTCCCTCTTCAATTACTGATGGAAAAGTGTTCTCCATCAGTGGTCAAAACCAACAGTCATCAAAATTGGAGGGTAATGTATCTTAATCTAATAAAGACCTGCCCAAGAGAAATTGAATCATAAAAATTAGACCTTTCACGCTTTTCATCTAATGGGATATTTTGACTTATTGTAGCTAAAGCTGTTCCTATGTTATGTAACACTGCAATCCAAACTGTTGTTTCTTGGATCTGTGTATCTTTTTTAATATTACATTTTTTCTTTTATGTAGTACCTGATGTTGCTCATATGTCACTTGAGAAGCGTGGACCATGTCTCCCTCTTGACTTAAGCCGTAGTTCGGAAGTTACAGCACCACTATCCACAGAATCCACTTTCCGTAATGAATATCCCAGTAAAGACAAGGAAGATATTCAGATGATTACATATCTTTCTTCCAAAGCAGTAACTGATGGAAGAGTAGCTACAGCAGCGTCAGGTAAAGAGATTCAGTATACAACCAGTTAGGCTTATAGTTATAGGGTTAAAGTGTGTATGTGTTCAGTCACACAGAGGGGATGCTTTTTGTTTTCCCTTTCTGCCAATCGCAAACCTGCTGCTCTTCCTGGGGTCCATCCATCTCCATATATATCTGCATATTCTTTGTCTTCCACTGGCTTTGAGCTGCATTAACACCTTTTCTAACACACGTAAAGGAGAATCTGGAAGTGTGGAATATAAAAAGCAGTATTTCGTTCACAAATATTCTATATTGTTAGAACTTGTAAAAATGATTTATGAAGTTTTTTACTAACATACTAATATATACCAAATCTAGATGTACCCATTGATTTTGTGGCTTCAGCTTTAAATCTCAGCATTTTGCAAGGCATTCAGCATTCCTCTACCTTTGCTTCTGTTTGCAGTGGAAATTTTGTCATTTGCTTGCTACGAAATGAAAATATTTCTGCAAAATCCTCTAAAACCTATATAAACTTGGTTCACCCTCACAGAGTTATCGTAGAGCCCAGTACTGGAACTCTGCTGCCTCTCACTTTGTAAGAGTTTACTGGCTACTGTGGTTTAAGTGAATTACTTGGATAGAGGCAATTAAGTCTTTGGGGAAAAGATTTACATAGTGATTTACAGACCCTAAAAGTGGGTTGTTTTCATCCAGTGTAAGTTAGGTGTCCGTATATTTTTGCCATAAAGAAGTGTCTTATGTGGGTGAGTATCATACCATTTTTATTTGGCTTCCAAAACAGAATTCTCTCACAAGCCTTTATTTTTTGTTTGATTTTTTTTTTAAGTGAGAAAATTGTTCGATAAAGAAAGAGGAGGGAAAAATCAAATTATTGTACCCTGCTGAGGAAGTGTTTTGGTAAATATGATTAAGGGAGGATACAAGGGAGGACAACAAAACCTTAAGATATATAATCATGCCACTCAAATTATAACTTAGCCTTGTTTAAGGGGGAGGGGGAGAAAAATAACTTTGCATTCAGGTGATAGTAGAGCTGCAGTGCTCAATAGGGTAGTGAAGCATTTTGTTTAGTGTGTACAGCCCCTTCTTGGGTGTCTGCTCCCACGAGCTCCCTCCAAGAGAGTAAGGTGATTGCTTCATGGAGTTGTAGCATTGCTATTTAGCCTGATGTAGCAAAAGCTGAGTAGAATTCTTGGATCAATACTGCGTAAATTAAAATAGATCTTTGTAATTATCCTTTCTCTCACAAAAACAAAAAAAAAACCAACCACCCAACCACCCTTTAAATCTCTTAAGCTAATTTGAAAATAAGGGCTACAGGAATTTCTAATGAGCTGCCACTTCAGCTTTTGAAAATACTACTTAATTTCTCGAGTGAAACCACGTGATGGTCTTGGTTTGCCTTTGATACATTACATAGCAGTAGAATCGCAGATTTCTGGGAAAATTAGTTCTGTAGACGTGCTTATATCTCATATCTTCTGCCACTAAGAGAAGTACTTTGGGGAGGTGTATATTTGCCCACTCAAAGAACAAGTTCGTAAAGGAAACTAACAGCTTCCAACTGCCATCTGTTTCTTGTTTATTAGAACTCATTTCATTTACTAGGAATTTAACTTCTGGCTGTTCTGGTATGTTTTCTGGATTATTTAATGCATAGCTGGTAAATGCTGGTGGGTATTTATTTTGTTGTCCACTTCTGTGATGGGACTGGCTTGGACTCTGCGTGAGCTGCCGTCCATCGAAACCCCCCATCCACCAGTGCACTTGGACCTGTTGGTTGAGCCAGGTCTTGATCTTCACCACAACTGAGTCTAATTAAAGAAATAATATTTTTTTTTATTGCCACCTTTCTTTATGACTCAAAAATATCTGACACATCCACATGCTTGTGTCAGGGGAAACCATTCCCTGACAAGATTACCTGGCATTACTACTTGAATTCAGAATGGGAAGATGCAGCACTTGCAGCAGTTTATACTGTATTTAGAGCTTAATGGAGCTTTTTTTGGACCTACATAATTTTAAGAGTGATAAGCTCTCAAGGAACTGTTTTGCCATCTACCTTTTTGTCTTCGGGATTCTTGCCTTATGGGCAAATTTGTCTTTTGTTCCTAATTTTCATGTATTAGTTTTCCTCCATGCAATACAACTCTATCTTGAGCTTTCATACTGACTTTTATTCAAATGTTAGAAGTTTTCAGAATTATGCAGCCCAGCACCCACTTGAGCAATATAAGCTTTATGGCTGAAAGACGAATCTAAGCAGTCTGATACCTTTAATTTGGAAATCATTCATAGAAAGTTGTGGAGATCATTGCCACTGTTAGTAGCATCTCTAGGCCTCTGTAACAGAAGTTCACATGTCTTTTGGGTTCATCTCAGGCTTCTAACTATGGTGCAACTTGTTTGTCTCCCATCTTTCTCATATTTTTCTAAGAAGAAAGAGGAAAATGTAGCTTTTAAGTTCAGGTTTGAAACCTCTAGAGTTACTCTACACTGTTGAATAGTTTTTCTTGTGTTCTCTGCTTTAGAAGACATCTTTTTACTTTTGAAATAGCACAGGTTCTTGTCATGTTACTTAAGCACACATAATTAGACCAAATTCTTGCATGCTTCAGGAGAATAAATAGAATCCACTCTATTTATTGCTACTTTTCCTTTTCTAATGAACCTCTTTAAACAATGGCAAGCTAATATATTAAGGAGAGGTGCCCAAAGCTTTCCTTATCATTCCTGTTGATGCTTGAAATATTGAGAAAAGTTAATGTACCTTATACAGGAACATCTGCCTGCCTAAGTGTAATTTAATATACAGCATTGTTTAGGATGTGTGTTGTGATTCTATAGATTACAACTTGAAAACACTGGTGTAAAATTCAGACTATTCTGTAACTGTCTGGTTTTTTTAATCTGAAAGAACTATTTTAAATCTGTCCTTTTATGTTATTTCTGCTGCCTAGATTTTATTGACACAGTCTGAACAGGTCAAAAATGGCAACTCAATAGTATTAACGCACAGATCCTTGCTCAAAATGAGCTTGTCATTTCATAAAGGTGGCCCAAAAGCACAACGATCAGTTCCTGCAGTCCTCAGGCTGCATGGGAGCAGTGAGAGCACACTGGTAGGCACTGGTACGCCACCAGTTCATTCTTCAACAGAGCTACCGCTTTGCCTAACAGGTCTATGGACCTACTCGTGATCAGCCCATACTGCACACATAACTAAGAATCCTTTATTTTATTTGTCAAGCAGCTTAAAATATAGATAACTGGCTTTTTTTTCATTTATTCTTTCATAGGCTTTAAATTCACTGTCAGCCTGAATATATGCAAAACATTGTAGGTTTCCAGTTCTGCCTACATGAAGTCAATGTAATTTTAAGCTCCCAATCATTTATCTTGGTTTCTATAACTCTACACCATTTGTGTTAGTTTAACTGTTATATATTGAGCAGACGTAATTTCAGCAATAAGTCTGGGCTTGAAAATGTAAGCGAGGGGAAAAATATTGTTACATTTACTAATATAACAATATCCTGTTTATAGGAGTAATGGTACCCTATTATCATTAGCTCTCATTTCCTGTTTGAGCTCAGTCTAGATGATTTTGCTGGTAGGGTAACATTACGTTAACTGTGTAGCAGGAACAAGCAATGGCCAATGTGCAAAATTTTCAGAAAATGACATCAGTAGATTTTTTTTTGGTTTTTGGTTGGTTGGTTTTTTTGTAAACTCTTGCCAGTGTTACTGGTTACCCTGATTTTAAGAGGTATCTAGGTTCTAGTGAACTAAAGCTCTTGTTACTCTGGAGCTATTTGTTTTACACTGAATATCTGTTGACAGATGGGTTTATGCCCTGGTCTGAATCTCTGCCCTGAAGTTTCTGGCCGATTCTTGGGGTAGGTGGCTGAAGGCAAGCAAGAACCTTTCAAGTCCTCATCCTTCCCAAAGATTGTTTTGTACAGGATCTGGTATTAAACTGTAATATGTATTTAAAGTGCATTTAGATAAAAAATTCATCCTGTGCACTGGGAATTCCGACCAACAAATTAATTACGATAGAACCGTGAATTAAGCTGGTCATGTTACGATTTAAGTTGTGTATTAACGCAGATGATGACATTTCTATTATTAGGCAGGTTGAGAAACCATAAAAATCCATGGAATACAATATCATGCAACAAAATAAGTTGGTAGAATTTATTTTAATTTGCTTCAGTGCAAAAAGCAGTAGGGCTGAAGGCCCGTCTGTGCTGTTGCGCTGGTGGCAGAGTGTTCTCTTCTGTGCCTGCGCTCGCGGCTCGTGTCACTTCTCTGTGCCAGACCAGCAGAGGTAGCATTGGAAACGTGGCATAAAGCAGGCTGGAAATTGCTGTGCTTTGCATATTACTTTTTTTTTTTTTTAAATCTGAAATGAGTCTTCTGGGCATAAAATTGATCTTAGAACAATGACCTAGTCTGTAATTTATCAAGTCGAATCTCTAAGCATCTTTCTCTCTCTGCTAAGTGTTAATTGCAGACCTCCCACGCTTCGCTGTGTGGGAGGTGGCTGACTAGAGAGCAGGAATTCCTCAACAGGAATAAAATTGCAATTAAAAGTAACATTTAAAAAAAATGTTTGTATTTCCATAAGGGAAAATTTTTATTAACTAATATTTTTCTGGCAGTATTTGTTGCTTGCCCTTCAGACTGCGATTTGTCTACCTTGTCTAATTTTGTGGTTACTTGTAAGGCATACTGATTGCTCAGGTGAAAATTTGCAAGCCTTAACACTTTATTTAGAATTTAGGATTCTCGATTTAGAATGATTTCTGATTAATAGAAGTAACAACCCAGAGTAACACTGCAGTGTACGCGGGCATAATAGTAGTTTCTCTCTTCAGGTTGCTATAGAAAACCAGTTTGGAGAGTTCTGTCGTTGGGACGGATGTTTGTGTGACTGTAGCAGGTTTCTGTCCATCGTAAATGTTCCCTCGAACAGTTACTCAGTTACCAGCTGATTACTTGGTCAGATGTGCTTCTGTTGAAAATTATCATGGTAGTGAAGTTTGTTGTGTTGGGGCCATCAATAGCAGAGCACATTTGAATGCTCGAGGTCAGGATTTCTTCTGAATAGTTCTGAAAGTTTTAGTGCTAATTTATCTAATATTGAGACTAAAGTTCTCGTGAGGTTGTTTGGATGGAGTATTCTCACATCTTTTCATCAAAATGGCATCAAATGACCAAATTATGTGCATTTGGGTGATCCTTTTGTGCTCTTTTTAGAAACGAGACAAGATGTTGATAACATGATGATGTGGAGAAGTGACACTTTTTTATTTTACTGAGGTGCTAAAATATAGCTCCACAGATGGCAAAGCAGTTCAGTCCTGTAACAGAGACAAACGTTAATTAGGAAACCCAGGAAAGGAATAATTTGAATAGCATTTTGTGTGGATGACAAATATCCCAGCAAGCTAAGTCTGTTTGAAACACAGAGAAGAGCCTGAATAGTAGTCCAGTCCTGAAAGGGTTATGGTCTCGGGTGAGGTGGTTGATCTGAAGGAGTGAAAAGGCTCAGGTGGCCTCAGCCAGGGTCCTACAGCTCGTGTCTGCTTTGTATTAAAAGCCAGAACACAGAACCAAGCAGCTGTGGCTGGATGGCATCGTGTGGTGGTGTCTTGCATTCCCACAGTTGGGAACATCTGGTGTTACAAGGTGCTGTGTGGGGTGGTAGGTGATGGGCTGTAACTTGCTGTTGCTCTGGCTGTCCCTGCAGCATTCTTGCTCAGAGGCTTTTTGGTTGTCACCCTGAGAGGGGCTGCCTGGGAGCTGGGCTAAGTTTCACATAACACCTATGTTGTATCCCAGTAGAACATTTGTAGAACACTGCCAACATTTGGACAGTGTTGAACTGTCCAAGCCTGGAAGGCCACCTTATGGAGTCAACAGTACAATCCTGAGACGTTGTTGCCTTCTCCCCAGAATCTTATGACTGATGAATTTACTAAATTATCTTAACACTGCTTATTTAAATGCTTTTTGTTGTTTTATTACTGAATATTTATTGTAAAAAAAAAAAAAAAAAAAAAAAAAAAGAGGGAGGTCAAAGAACCCATTCCAGATCATCTTCATATTTTGTTTTCTTTAATATCTTGAGCACTAGCAGGTGTTGTTCAGGACTTTATTTGGTTCAGCACTGTAGCTCACAAGTGTTTTTTACATGCTGATACTTCTGTTGGGCCCCTGTGCTGAGAGACAGAAGGTGACTGGTGCCTCCAAGTGTTTAGAGCTGACATTGAAAAACCTGAACCCCTTATGGCTTTGCAGAGCTGCATTCTTTGTACAGTGTCCACGGCATGGACCTGAAATGTCCTCAATGGCCTGAAGATTAGGCTTTCCTAATTACTTTTAAATAAAACTTAAAGCTCTCACAATATTGATCAATACAGTAATAGAGAGTTTTGAATAACCTCAATAATGTTATTTATAAATAACTCTTATTCTACTTTGATTATTTGAAAATTCCATTATCCTATTTGCTTATAAATATTACTAATGAAAATTATAGCTTGAGGGTGTTTTTTACCATGTCATTTTGCAATTTGCATTGGATAAAGATTAACAAAACTTTTCTGAATAGTGTAAGATCAGAATTGTCAGTACATGGTGCTGAACTCCGACAAATTATCAATGTTTTGCATGTGATTCGAATGTGGATTAAATATATATATGAAAGACTGTAAATGATTCAAATATTATTAAAACCAATGCAATGCCATAAGCAGAAGTGTAAATTTTATACATAGCACTAAAAATATTGTACCAGAGCTTAATTAGAGTGTTAATTTAAATGATACTGACAATGTCAGCACTTTTAACCCTTACTATTGACATGGGTTTCTATTATCGTGAAATAAAAAGGAAACAAAAAGGCTTAAAAGAAGACTTTAAATGGTACAATTATTTTAAAAGTGAGTGCAAATTCCAAAACAGACAAAGAAACCTTCTGTGGCATGTATTGTCTGGTACATAAGACTAAGAGCTAGGCATTCATATGTAGTAATTCTATGCTGAGTGTGATGATGATATGACCAATACTTGACATTTCAGGGATCTGACACAGCCAGTGACCTGGCTGCAATCCTTACGGAATGCCTAGTAAATCTGTCTTCTTGTTTTCAGCACCCTCGTCCCATGTACATGCCTTGCAGCTGGAAATGCCTTTAACCAATAGTCTAAAGTTACCCAAAGGGAATAGTAAAAAAAAGAGGTCTTCCACATCAGTGAGCTCTGAAGGGACAGAGATACAGTGCTCTGTGCCCGTAAAGGAGAAATGTTTTGAGAGTCTGAAGGAGAAAATAATAAAGAACATGATTGAGAAGGACAAGCATTCAGAATTTGGTAAACTACAATACTTTTTGTTTCCAGTGCTTTAGACAATAAAAATAATTGTAAAGTGACATTAAAAATTATTGTATTGTTTGTATGTTTCTTATTAGCATGTGCCATTAGGTCTTTTTACGGTCTAATGACTTTAATGAGAAAGTGGGTCATCAGCCAGACATTGCACTTATGTCATATATTCTTCTTCAATTTGCAGGTGCAGTGAGAATGGAAAGAAAAGGAAAACTGGATGAGAAAAGTTCTTCAACATATGGTATGTACAGAGCAATGATATTTTTTAGGAAAAAAAAAGGAAGAATTCTGGAATACTTGATGTCTCTGAAGGGCAAATGTAAAAGTGTAAAATATTTCCTGGGCCCAGCTCCACTTACTTTGGTTTTTTTAGGTCTTATAAACTTGTAATATACATAACTGTTTTTAGAATAATAATAATTTTATAAGAGTGCCAATAGCAAGGATTTGGAAGGATCTAAATAGTACCTATGAAATGTCTGAAAAAGAAAAGATCTTCTTTTAGTTGAATTGGTGATACTGCCTTTATTTCCTTGTACTGACTGACTGGGGGAGGGAGGGGTGGAGAGGAGAAAGCGGATGTTACTAGCAAAATATTTGTCAGTTCTTGAAAGAAAATAGAAATTAAGAGGGCTTTGGTTTTGCTTAGAAAATTATTATGGGGTGACAACAATGTGGGATATATTTTGTTTGGGAAGAAATTACCAGGATAAATAGATACTATTTTTTTTCTGAGACAAAGTATTTGTCCTCATGTGTATATAGACAGTGCTGAGGAGTGAACTGCAGTGTAAAAAATGTATCATAAATTTTAGTGAGAACTAGTTTTCTGTGAGGATGTTGCTGTGCAGTAGAAAGTGCTGACACCATCAGCAGTTTTGTGATACTGAAATTTCCTTCACGTGACTTTCTATAGCCTACCATGTGTTTTTAAGATGATGTTATCTTTTTATTTTGGAGTTTTGCACTTTTGAAAGCTTTTTGAAACTTTTTTGATATAAGCTGTAAGTAAAATAGACATTATAAGCTATTTAAATAATGTCACTTATTTTTTTTGCTTTGCTATATCTTCTTTTATTATGATACCTCATTTGCAAATATTTAAAATAGTAAAATGTTATTTGCTGAGAGAAATTTCTTTGAACCATTCTACCAGCAATTAGTAAGAGACATGCCCAGGATACCAAGTAAATTAATTGAATTGTTTTAATCTGACTAGGCAACTGGAATACTAGATTTTGAATGTCATGTTTAGATTAAGACAAATGAAGCAAGTAATTGGGAATGGCACTGCTGTTTTAAAATGTTTATTTTTTTTATTTCAGGTAAAAAGAAAGAAAAGGAAAAGGAGAAAAAAGAGAAAAAGGAGAAAGATCATAAATCAAAACAGAAAAAGAAGAAGAAAAAAAAGAAGAAATCTAAACAGCATGGTAAGTTCAATTTACTTTTTTAATAAATAGAACCACTCAGGGTATTTCTGGCATTAGATATTAACATTTATTTCTAAACAATATGAATGTCAAATTTTTGAAATTTCAAAGAATAGGTTTTGGCCTTAATTGTTAAAAGAACACTTAGGTCTGTGACCTCATTTTTGTATATGTAGTGCATCTGTACATGATAAACACAGATATTTCACAGATGTTTTTTCTTCCTTCAAAATATATGCTTGTTCTTCACATACCTTCAAATTCTTTATTTGAAGCTCTATATATCCTAGTTAGTTTACTTGAACATAAAAATGATTCTAGTATCTAGTCTGTTGCTAAATTTCAGTGGTTTACTGCATAAGATGCAGCCCCTTCTTAACAGTTAAACCCTTTGTCCTTCTTTTTTCTCCTTGTCTGAGAAGTCCTCCTGCAAGAATGTGGCTTAAAGTGTTGTGTGCTCCAGATAGGTTTGGTGCAAGGCTTTAAAGCAAAGAAAACAGAAACTTCTTGCTGCTCTGACTATAGGTTTCATTGTCAATAAATGTTCATATAAAACCAATATAACACAGAAGGTAAATAATTTCTGTTATTTGTACTTTTCTGTCTCAGTGAGGTCGATACCAATACAGCATGAAGTAATCAACTCAACTGCTCAGTGAATTGACTCCCCTACAGTGAATATACTTAGGAAATGTGGTAGATGATGTGTTTTTGACAGGAGAAAGTAAATATTAACAGTGGCTTTGTGGAAGGTATTTAGGAGAGATGCATTGTGGAACCCATTGCAAGAAAACTGGAGATGCAGGTGGTAGCAGGAATGCTTCCTACAGAAGGGTGAAGGTGTAGAAATCAAATTACTCATTTATGTTTAAAGCAATGAAATTTAGGAGGACTAAATGGATAGCTACTCTTAATTACCATTTGACCAGCGTAGGACAGACATGGACCTGCTCAAGTGGGTCCAGAGGATGGCCACAAAGATGATCAGGGACTTGGAGCACCTCACCTAGGAGGACAGGCTGAGAGGTTGTTTAGGCTAGAAGAGAGAAGGCTTTGGGGAGACCTCAGAGCAGCCTTCCAGTACCTAAAGGGGGCCTGCAGGAAGGCTGGGGAAGGACTTTTTAGCAGGGAGTGTTGTGATAGAACAAGGGGTAATGGTTTTAAACTGAAAGAGCATAGATTTAGATTGAATATTAGGCAACCTCCCTTAGTCCAAAAGGTGATCCACAGAGCTGCTGTGGGTAACACGTCGTCATGGGTTTCATGCCTGGATAATGGGGATGATGGTGCTGCTGGGGCATCCCTGGGAGGGGCCTGGGCAGGGTGTATTTGTTGTCTACCTGCTCATCATGCTCCTCTGGGCTTGTGCATACCTTGCTGAGATGACCCTGGGCCCATCCCAGACACCATCTGTCCTGATGGCTCCTGGGCTGGACCTGGGAGCATCCCAGGTGGGTTTTCTTTCCTGAGCCCCTCTGCAGGGATGCAGACAAGCTTTGATCACTTAACCTGGACCGTTTGCAGTTACTTGTAGGCAGCAGTGTTGGTAGTACTACAGACAGACCTAAGGAGAGCTATCAGCAGCATCTCTGAGGTCACCAGATGGTACAGGATGAATTGTGGAAAAAAAAAGACTGAATAATGTTCAAGGAAAAATTATTCCTTTGTACATTCAGAGGTGGGGGAGGAAGGACTTAGAAGGGTAATACTTTTCTTAGCTATTAAACTTCATTGTGTTTCTTACTGGAATTTTTATTTTACAAAATAGATTATGAAGAGCTTTTGCCATTTCATACTTACAGTTTCATCATCCTAATACCTCAGTGTTGATGTTCTTTACTTGCGATCATAATGTTGCAGTATACTTAAATATTCTTTTTTATTATTATGTGTCTCAAACTTTTCTTTACTTTTGTAACAGCAACTTATTTTCTTTTAACTTTTCAGATTACTCAGACTATGAAGATAGTTCTGTTGAATTCTTGGACAGGTGCTCCTCTCCGTTAACACGGTCCTCGGGGAGCTCTTTGACTTTGCGCAGCATGTTCTCAGAGAAGAATACATCATACCAGTATCCAAGAGCTATCTTGTCTGTTGACCTTAGTGGAGAAAGTAGGTTGGCTGAATAGCATTTTTCAGTTTGTAGGTTTAATTCTTTCAGAAATAGAATTTTAAAGGAAATAATTTGGTTTATGTTTGGGATTGTAACTATAAATACGGTGACTGATTTCTACTTCATCCATTTAAACCAAAATGCTTACACTCATCAGGCTGTTTTGCATTTGGTTAAGTGTTGCTACTTTGCTTCTGAGGACATGACATTAAAGGCACTTTGCAGAATCCATCAAGAAATCTAATATACCACCAGTGTGGTTGAGAGTGATTTTTTTCCTATATTAAGGTTAAGATTTTTTTTTTTAACTGCCAAAAAGCCCTGTATCTCCATAAATATTGTGTTTCTGCCCACAAAATTTCACCTGTATTTATTTTTACTAGACCTTTCAGATGTGGAGTTCTTGGATGATTCCTCTACGGAGAGTTTGTTGCTTAGTGGTGATGAATACAATCAGGATTTTGATTCAACTAACTTCGAAGAGTCTCAGGATGAAGATGATGCTCTCAATGAAATTGTTAGATGCATTTGTGAACTGGATGAAGAAAATGGCTTTATGATTCAGGTAAAGAAATTTGAGGGGGCGATGTATTTTTCCATGTGAATTTCTTGCTTGTGAAGGTGCCCTTTTGATGTGCTGGAGGCTGAAGCTGTGTAGAGAGCTGTAAATAGAAATGAACAATAACACAATATTTCTGTGTTCTGCACTTGGCTTGACTCTGTTCCATGTGTGCAGAACTATCACTGTAGGTTGGGGTTTCTTTAACAAATCGATATGTAGAACAGGTTTGTAAGGAAACGTAATCTTTTTCTTTATAGCCACTTGATAAATTGAAGATAAAGAATCCTTTCCCGCACACAAACCATTGCTTCTGTCCACAGACCATCCCAATTAAACCCCCCTTCTGCTTTGGCCCTTGTGCTTTGCAGTATTGACTGTAGAAACCACTCTGCTCACTGTAAATGTACCTCAGCTGGATCCAAGATCTCTGCTACACAGAGGACAATACAGTCACTGTGATGTGTGTGTGATATGCCTCCTCCATCTTTAGAATTGCAGTTCTCAAGCTAGAAGTTGCTCGCTGGTTTTAGAAACTGCTAAGAATTTAAATCTTACCTGGTGTAGAAAAAGGGGAAGAAGACTATACAGTATCTGCATATCCATATATGGATTGTAACTGCTCTGCTCATTTATTTGTACTCCAATGAGGGGAGTGTTTCCCATCTACTAATGAACGGTTGTCTCAAAAATGTTTGTCTCAAGGAATTCATAATATAGCGATTAGATCAGATGCAAACAATAGTGAGGAAAAACTCAGTTGTCAGTAACTTCAAAAAAGCCATGAACCTCTTGTGTTTCTTTTCCCCGCACTCAAAAAACAGGTTTGTATTCAGCTGTTGATGTGGTGCAGTTTCTGTGGAAAACGCAGAGCCTTTGTAGTTGAGGTTTGAAGGAAGGCAAGTTTGACTGTCCTGTATTAATGGCCTTTGGAAAAATGGTCTTTTGGAAAGTGACAGAAAGAGCTGAAAGTGAAGGACACAAAGACTTGTCCCTGGAAACCCATTACTGAAATGCTGTGCTGTGTTGGAGGAACTAAGCAGGAGTTCAGCTGTGGTAATAATGGGGAAAAAGAGACTGGTGTGGAAATCTTCGGAGAGAGGAGAGGAAATTGTAGACATAACAGTGTGACAAGAGGAAAGGTGACTTCAGTGTTTTGAATAGGTTGATGATGCTCAAAAGCATTGTCAAAGCAAAGAGGAGATATTTTCAGTGGTAAAAAAGCAGATATTTATAACAGAGGCAAAAAGGGAAATGTATTTTTAAGTGGTAATTTCCTGCTCGTTTCTGAAGTCCAATGACAGCCTGATTTTTCCTCTTCATGCCTTGTCTCACTGAGAGCAACCAGTTTGCTGTTTCTAGACCCTCATGTCTTACCACTTCTATTTTGCTCTCCTATTCTCTTGTTTCTCCTCTTTCATTTTCTCTTCATTTTCTTTTTCTTTTAGATTTTCCATTGGTGCGATATTAAAAGCACATCTTTCTAGCGCACTGGAGAGATGCTTTGTAAATATAAATAATTAAACTGAAGAGTTTTCTACTTTTCACTGTTATGCTGTAATGTATTACATCTTTCTACTTTACTGTAATATTATACTCCTGTCTTATGTTTCACTACTAAATATTTAGGTGCTAAGATACTGAATGTTGTAATAAAATATTATTAAATGTTACATCTTCAATTTCTTTTTTTTTTTTCCAGTCTGGAATTTGTGGTTGAGGTAACTTTCAGAACTAGAGCTATTTTTTAGCTTGATGTCTTTGCCTACCCAAACACAAATTGTCCACCTAAAATAATCTTACTCAAACCAGATATTTAAGTTAAACTGCTGTTCGCTGCATTTTGACCGTACAAAAAATAGCTTCTGATTTTTGAATCTACTTATCTCAGTTTTAGTTTTTGCTCTTGTTTGTCTTATTTTTCCTGATGTCAGTGTGAAGAGTGCTTGTGTTGGCAGCACAGTGTGTGCATGGGGCTGCTGGAGGACAGCATTCCAGAGCAGTACATCTGTTACATCTGCAGAGACCCACCAGGTACGGATAAAGCACCTCTATCTGCAGCTGTCTGCTTTGGATTGTTAAGCAGAGATGTTGTGTGTTGCTTAAACTGTTAAAGCTTTGTCTGTATCGTCTTATCTGTTACACTGCTTTGGGGCAAGCGCTTCTAGGTTTGGCTCTGAGCAGAAACTTAATTTCCTGTTAGTAACATCTTGTTCAGCTACGCTAAATCTTATTCATGATCTTAATTCCCATTGCTTTAGTTGTTGAAACCTAATTACCCCAAAACCTTAGCATTTTTTCCTGTCATAGTAGTTTGAAAAATCTTTCTAAACGAATCATTCTTGTTCAGTGACCTGTTTTGCCTCTCCTTGGCATCATATCTCTTCATTTTAAATATTTTTTAGAGAAAAAGGACTCGTTACCACAGTACACTAAAATATGCTGTGGATGTCATTTCATATCAATTGCAATTTTATAATGTTTGCATTTGTGTAAAGAAAGGTGTGGAACTGTGTATGTAAAATATGAAAAATAGTTTTTATGGTAAATGATAGTACACACACAGCACATCTTGAATTTAGGATTGTTAGCATCAGTTTGAAATGACAAGAATTAGGAAAAGCATATTTACTTTTAAACTGAAATATTTTGATTAGGAAAATGTTGATTTAAAAATTATTCTGTCCACAGACCTATTTTTCTTAGCAGTTATTTGGAGATAAACTATATGATTGGAAGAAAGTTTTTAGTATTTTTTCTGACAATTTATACCAACTCATATACATGTCTTCTGGTGAAATATCCAACAGTTCAGCTGTTTCAAAAGGGAAATGAGGCTTCATCCCAAATTTTAAAATTCTGAATGAAGGAAAAAAGAAATCTAAAAACTGTTTGCAGAGGTATAAAACAGCACAGTTTTTATTAGTAATTTTTGAGAAGAAAATTTAGGAAACTAGAGCTGGACAGGTGTGACTTTTTCCATTTGCTCCAGTCTGAATCTAAATGGATGGTATAGAGTCTTGTTTGGTAGTTCTGTGTGGTATGTTCTTGGAGCAGTCAAACTTTTTCTTATTAAAACCAACTAACTTGTCTTGTGTCTTTCCCTGCACTGTGCTAGGTACTTCGTTACCCCCTGCTATGCAGAGACTGTGTCCCTAATTTTTATCTTCTCTCCCTTCCTAACCATGACTTCTTTTCTTTCTGTGTCAGGAGAAAAAGGTCATTCACAATGTCAGTATTTTAAAGTGTATTGGGATAATGGGCAGAAAGGAGATAGACAGGGTATTCTCCTGAAAGGTATGAAGGGCTTCATCAACCTGTTCTTTGTTCTGTATATGATGATAGTCTGATATGAAATTGAGTCTAAGATATTGTGGTCTTAGCCAGTCTGTTTGCCTGGGTTCCACACTGTAAACAATTATAATGGAATAATTAGAATTATACATTTCTAGTTTTGTTTTCCGGGGGTTGTTTTTTTTACTTATTTATTTTATAAATAGTTACTGAGTTACTATAGAAGCATTAGCTAAATATTCATTCATGCCTGTTGTGTTAAGACTGTAGATGTTACTATAGCATGGGAGACCTAAGGCCATATCCTGTCTAGTTGTGAGGGTCTGAGAACTCTGCTGTCAGATAATTTGGAAATGTCTGTTTTTCATGAAGCCTTCTCCTGACTTCTAAAAAATAGATATTCAGTATTGAAGCAAAATATTTGTCTTTTAGAAATAAACTAGGTGGTTTGGATATGTCCATATAAAGTCTACTCTCTAACTTTCTCTTGGTAACTTAGGTTGTTTTGTTTTTTGTTTTTTGTTTTTTTTAAGAAAGATGCTGTAGTTAAATAAAATGCTAATTTAAACTTTTTTTTTGCAGTTAGATTGGTAATAGCACAGTTCCTAATATCCTGTAGTTTGATCATAAAGGTGATTAGATTTTCATTTCAAATGCTGTTTAGAGAGGTCTTGAGATTTCAGATTTATTTTTGTGTTCATAATTAAGAGTTTCCTCCTATCTATGAAAACTTTTTAAAATATCAATAGCAAGATCTCAAACCATCCTTTCATGGTTGTTAGGAGACATTTAAGAGAGTACAGCATATAATTATAGCACCCTAGCTTTTAAATAGAATTCTGTTCTGTCTTTAGATGGCCCTCAATTTGTTTGTTGCTTACCCCAGGTCAGAGGTGGAGTGCCAAATATCTTTATGATAAGGACTGGCTAAACAATGGACACATGTGTGGATTATCCTTTTTGAAAGAAAACTACTCTCATCTTAACGCCAAAAAGATTGTGTCAACACATCACCTACTGGCAGATGTATATGGTGTAACTGAAGTACTGCATGGACTGCAGCTGAAAATTGGGATATTAAAGTAAGTATCAGTCCAGGGTTTATTATCCATCTTTATATGTTTAGGTAGCACAGACTGCCATTGTTCCATTTGTATAAACTTCTTTCTTGTATAATAGTTGAAATAATTCAAATGCAAGATGTCGAGTACACTCAACTCCAGTTGAGTTAAGTGTTCAGCATCTGAGTGGATATGGTTTATTTGGGTTATTGGTGATTTATTTTTTTTAATAGTCAGTTTTGTGTTAAAGAGATATTCTGGATTTATCCGCAATTAATCAGTGTTTTAGGAATACTTACATATTTGATAATGGTGCTATCAATAGCTATGATCTAGCAGCAGTGGTTGTTTAGTAGTTCCATGCTGTAAGTGGTGTTCTCTATAACTTGCTTTTTTTTTCCTCCCCTTTGTTGCAGAAATAAGCACCACCCAGACCTTCATCTCTGGGCTTATTCAGGGATGCGAAAAGAACAAGAACAAGTAACTGTTGGGGTAGAGAAAAAATTAGTGACTTTGCCGGATGCTGTTAATCCAACTGAAAGGACGTGTCACAGTCAAAACCACAAAGAGCAGCCCAGTATACCCCACAAGATGGAAGAAACGTACATCACAAGTGAGCACAGTTACCAAAAACCACAGAGTTTTGGTCACGACTGCAAAGCAGTCGCTGACCTCATGAGCTCAGATGATGAAGATACAAGTAGTTTTGAGGAAGATCAGGAATATCACACTGAGAATAAAAACTGTTTACAATATTCTTTTAAAGATGATGGCATGATTGAGCAGGTAAGTATCATTCTTCATCTGGGAAGTTTCTTAGTTGGAAAAATATGGTCAGTCTGATAAAACTCACTGTATTTAAAAACTCACCATATTTAGGAGTGTTCCTTGTTGTAAGTCGACATGTTCTATCAAATAAGTCTGCAGAAATCATTAGAAGCAAAGTTGGATCACTGCAGTAGTTTCAGGTAAAGTATGCCCATTCCAGCTGCTGAATGAAATGCGAAGTGTGGTTAAAATATTGGCTGTGCTAAAACTGTTTCTGCTCAATCCAATGTTTTGGGGCAAAACCCAATCCTATGCTTGAAATGCAGGGTCTTGAAACAGAATTTACATGTTTTTTGCAAGGTGAGGAAAATGTGACAAGTTTTCTTTTTTTTTCTCTCAATTCTGTTTTATATATGTGGTTCTTTTTCGTGTTTTGTTAAACTGAGATTTGTAATAGTGTTTATTATTGTATGGTATTCTTCTTTGAATAGCAACACTATCTAGAATTCTGTCCACTAGTAATGATTTACTGACCAACTAATTTCAGCTCATGCAACTTCTTTTGAGTCTTTTATATTGCATCTTTCTTCTAATTAAATGTTTCATGGGGTATTAGTCAGGATTATATTTGGCTGTTTAAACATCTTTCTCACTTTATTGCATTAATGGTCTGAATCCATCACTTTGTGGAAATGGTCTGAAACTTGTTAGTCTGGTTTTAGTGAAGAATTCTCTTTGAGCAAAAAACAAAGTGAAACACACCTTTCTGTTTTCTACACCACCAACTGTGTGAGAATAAATGGCCCAACTCATCCCCCTTTTGAAGTACACTTTCTGGTGTGGAAGAAATGAGTAAGATAATGTCTTTTTTCTTTTAATTTTAGTTTTAAATGTGACATGTAAGCTATATAGTTTGAATGGAAAATTCTGGCTCATTCTAATGAGAAATAACTGTTTGTATGTTAAATCGCATGATTATATTCAGCTTGTGTAGTAAGGAGACAGCCATGCAGCAGTGTGACCAACAGTAGCTTGAATTGTCTTTGTAAATAGTATAAATGCATTTAGAATTAAAAGAAAATATATGTGAGCAGTGAAACTAAACTACTGTTTCCTTCAGAGGTGTGCGTATGTCTAAAAAGCCAGGTGCTCTCTGTTTTAAAATAGGAAGAGATCTGTCTGGGGCAGCATCAGACACCGTAGTTCACCTTGTCAATAGTCAGCCTTGATATCTGAAATAAGGCTTTCTGTCTAGATTTAATGCACATTGGAAAGCTCTCCTTTGTTTCTTCATGAACCTGTTAGTACTCGCCTTAAAACCAGGATGACACTGGCATTGAAGTACCATTTTTTACATGAACTGACTTCTCTGTAAGGTGCTGCCTTCACCCTTCCTTGCCAAAGTTCTGTTTGGGGCTTGGCACTCTCCCTTCTTGCATCCCACAGAGCCACGAATATTCTGGGTTTCTGTACAGTTTTGTCTTGTCCTAATCTACAGTTCTGATAAATATCTTCTTTTGTCTCATAAAGTGTTCAGATTGACTGATCCTTTTTGGACTATGCATTGTCTTGAAAATTGTGCTTAGTTTCCTTGTTCTTGTGTCTCAAAGCACAAGCCTCCCCGACCTGAACCTCCCGTTTATTTCTTCTCCGTGAGCTGCATCCTGTGCTCTGCTTCTCTTACTGCCTCTGCCACAGCTCACTGATTGCCTGCGTTGATCTCTTAACTTAAAGGAGGACCTGTTTGATCTTGAGAGGTTTTTTTCCAAAAAGCATTTAGTAGCCATTCAAATAAATACAGAATGTCATTAAAAATTTTAAAAAAATAATAATAAATTGATGTTATGTAGATATTAAGTTATTTAGCTTTAAGTTTTTCTCTAACTTACTGCAGTGGGCATCTAAAATATTCACCCAGCAGATGATCTTGGTTCTAGAATTATGGACTTGGGTCTTTATACAGCAAGGAAAAAATGTCATTCTTCTCTCATGGTTTCAGAGGAGGTCTGAAAATTATAAGAAATAAGGCATTTTTTATTTACATTTAATGTGTCCTTTGTAAAGATTAATAGTTTGAATAGAGAAAGCACTGGAGACAAACTTAATGTCTTGAAAGATTTTATCTGAAAGGTTTGAGAGTTTAGAGGCTTTTCTGGCTTTCAAAATCTATCTTTAGATAAATAACTTGAACTCTTTTCATGAATATTGTGAGTATTAACAATACTTGTCCTCCAGGACTCACTGATAGTCCGCCAGTAGGTTGGTCAAGGTTTGATTTATTTTTTAATTCATTTTAAGTCTTAACCAAAAAAAGAAGAGCAACTCCTTATTTTTAGAAGTAACTTAAAATCCATCAGTCCCAATTTTCTTCTCCCCCTCTCTTCTCACTCTTCCCATTCTTGATTGGAGAAATACTTGAAGAAGAAAATGGTGTTAAGTCTGTTATTATGTGACATGGAAAAAAAATTAGCTGAGCACTTTATCAGAAAAGTGTATTAATACGATAAAATTCACTCCTTGCTCTGGCGTTTGCTGTGATCTGACACTGTGAGCACACATACCCAGTATTTTAGTCCCTAGAGCAGAATCATCAGTAGTGAAAGCACTTCATCAGCTATGAAGTCATAGTGGATATAAAAATAGAAACTGTGAATCATGCTAATTAATGGAAATCCTGAACACTTTTTAACTCATTAAATCTGGTGTATTTCGTTTGGTTATTTCCGTTAGCTGAAATGTCAAATACAGAAAGATGAAGAACTTGTGTATTATCTCGGACTTGATATGAAGATATTATTTCAGAGAAGCCAATCTTCCTCAGATATTGTGTTTGCATAACTTTGTACATTATTTCCCTCCTTAACTGGCCCCAAACGTGTTCAATTCTATCCCAGACTCGTGCTTGCAAGTTACACAGGACCATAGTGATGGTAGGAAGAGAAATCTTTTGTCTTAATCAGCAAATAGAATGGCCAGTTTATTTGTGCAATAAAATTGCTTTTGACATCTTGGATACTACTGCATTTTAGGGAGTTTTCCTTCATTCTCTGGCTAAAGTTGAAACAAACCTTAAAGTCTGCATGCTTCTGGTGGCAGTAGGGTGATGCAGTTCACCACTTCATGGTTTAAGTCACAATTTGTATGAAAAGGGAACAGAAATGTGGTCTGGCTTAGTGCATTAAACAAATGCTTGTGCTGTTAATTTACCTCTTGTCTCACTCCCCCAGTGCTATGTATGCTCATTCCTATGGAATTTGCATTTTGCTTGGTTTAGTTTATTGAGGTGTCATGGTACATGGCTCTTTGAGTATGCTTTTGGTCAAGTAGACAGAAGTACAGTTCTAAAATGTCATAATTTGTCATGTGACTCATGTTGAAATCAAGACCAGAAATTAAAACAAAACCACCCTCTTAAATGGCAATTTTTTTTCTTTCTGTCGCTCCTATGAAGAAGAATTCTGCTGAAGGAAACACTGTGTTTGTTTGTAATGAAAGAAAAGGCTCAGAAGAACAGGTGGACACACATCTTCAATGGCAGCTAAATCTCCTTACCCATATAGAGAATGTACAGAACGAAGTCACCAGCAGAATGGACCTGATTGAAAAAGAAGTTGATGGTAACTGCGTTGCTAGATAACTTGTTAATATACCTGTAACAGCATCTTCCGTAATCACTGTGTTGAAGGGGATCTGAGGCACTGAGGATGGATTTTTAAGAATTCTATTCAAATTTGGGTACCCAACATTATAACCAGAGCTTATACCCTTCATCCCCCCCTGCCCCCTTCCACAAGTTTTGAATGCCCGATAAAGCAGCTTAAGCGCTCAGGATCCCTGAAAATGTAGCTCAAGTTTGTGATATTAGGCAGACTTTGGAAAACTTAGATAACTTGTCTCATCTTTGTCCAGATATGGTTCATAAAGTTGATGGATTTTTCTACACCTGGAGTGGTTTTGGCCTGATTGTTGTAATATTTGACAGTGTTTAGGGGGGGGAAAAAAAGTGTTCGTTTTGCCTTCAACTTTGGTTTGCTCTATATTAGTAAGTAACTGGTTTCAGGAAAACAAATCAGGCTTCATGAGACCTTAAATCAGATTATAGTGTAGGAGTAAATCTTACAGCACGTAACTTTACTTGCCAGTCACAGAAATAAAGAATGAGGGGATCTTGTGGTCTAGTCATAGGAGTCCTTAATGATCTTTTGGCAAATAAAGTTGTCTTATTCCCATCTGCAGTTTTACTTTCAACATTCCTGCTTGTACAGAACAGTATTTCTAGGCTAACGGGGTTGACCTTCTCCCTTCCCTGTCTCTACAAGCATAGAAATTCCTTGACAAAGATGGGAAAACCATTCTGTAATCTGGACTGTGTAACAGGAGCCTGTTAAAGTTCCAGAAGCAACCCTTGTATTTAAGGAGTGCATTTTCTCTTGCAGAACTGTCGTAGCTAGAAGGCCATGAACTGAAGTTTCTTTTGTGTGTGTAGATGGTAAATAGTTAGCCAGGGGTATAATTTGCTCCCAGGTACCTTTTTATAGTAACAACCAAATCTGAGGATGTATTGGGATTGTTGGAGTGAAACATGGAATTCATTGGTGTTTCCTTAATAAGCATTTCTTCTGTTAAATAAAAATCACAGCCTCAGTATGTTTTTCCTTCTCATAAAAGACAGAATAAGAAAGAAAAGTTTAATTTTTTGAAAACAGCTTCTCAAAGACTGATTCTAATCAACTTCTTCCTTTTCCTTCTGTAGTTTTAGAAAGCTGGCTTGATTTCACTGGAGAACTGGAACCACCAGATCCTCTGGCAAGATTGCCTCAGCTCAAGCGACGTATCAAACAGCTCTTAATTGACATGGGGAAAGTACAGCAAATAGCAACGCTTTGCTCTGTATGACAAAAGGAAGAATAAAGAAATAAAAATAGGTTCTTCACAGTGAATTTTCTTACTAGCCACAAGACTGACAGGAAGACGGCGAAAAGCTGAGCATTTTTCTGGTTCTTTGCTGATTACATTTATAGCCTGAAGCTTTAGAGAGAGAAGAGAGGAAATCTAGAGTAAGAAATCTGTTATATTGAAAATCTGAGTGTTCAGTGTCCAAGTTTCAAAATGTAATATATTGCATACTGGGAAATGTTGATATGATTTTAACATGATAAACAAGAAAATCCCCTTATGTAAGAAAGTTGAACAAACAAAACGCTCTGCGAAGAACAATGCTACTGTTTTGAAACTTTTGCTAAAAAATTCCAAATTCAAAGAATTCAGCTGACTAAAAATTCTTGGGAACTGCTTTTTTAATGAATTCCTCTTGTCTTGCTAGAGAAAGATAGACACAGAGAGATCTGTATCCTCTCTACAAGGAAAGTTTTTAGATTATTTCCTTCTCTCATGAATGTTCAGGAAAATGAACATACTAGCTTTGATTTTTTTGAAAGAAATTACTTATCATGGTCTCCTTTTTAAAGTATTTTTTTAAATAGAAATCCTTATTACAGCACCCTTAGAATCCTTTAAAACATAAGTGGCAAATAGTGGTCAGATGTGCCAAATAATATTAAAACCACTGGGATGAGAGTTTGATTATGACTTACATGAAGGTTTTTTTCCAAAGTCTTACTCGGTGCCAGCAATCCATCCAAAATTGTATCTAGTTTATATTTTTTTATGTTCTATTGCAGTATTTGGGATTCAAGGTACCATTTTTGTCCTGGGTAGCTCTGTTCTGGTGTTGGCCCTCTGAAACTTTATCATCCTCAGCTGGGATGAGGAATGACAAGAGCAGCAAAACTGTCTGTGGCTGTGAATGTTCTAAACCACTAGAATAAATCTCACAAGATAACGTTACCCAAGATGTTTTTATAAAAAAATCTTTCAGCTTCGGTGAATGAAATGTCATGAAACCAAAGGCAACCTACGTGCTCTGTTAGCTCTTGCTGGATTTTGAGCCCAGGACTTCCCCTGTGCTTATAAGTTGCCACTGTACCCAGTGCTACATACGTATGTGTATGTATATGTGTATAGATACACATGTACATATATACATACTATATACATTTATATCTACACATGTCTAGTTTTATTACAATAGACTATAAGAACTGGTGGTTAACATGAAATGTTACCTTTTAACAAGCAGTTTCTAAAATTGAAAATAATGTATGTACAGGTTTTGAATTTGTAAAATATGACTGTTAAAAGGAGGCTATTTAACTGATGACATTAAGATACTTGAACATTTTATGCCTCACGTCTGTTTATCAGTTCTAGTTATCTGTATAAATGCATTTTAGAACAGATAGACAGTAAACTTGAATTTACCTTTTGATAAGAGTACAAGCCACTGTACATTCAAAAATTATTTAAATTTGCAAACACACTTCTATATGTAAGGTACTGTATGTAAAACTGTTTATTAAAACTATTCTGCATACTCTCCATTTTCCACTTTTCTTCCTGATCTACGTACAAACGTCAAAAAGAAGTGATTGTTATAATGTACAGACCATCAAATATCAAAATATCATGGAATGCCTTTTGAGGATGCATAAAATTGAAAAACGTGCCAAAGATGGATCGTGTGGGAAAGACTTTGCAACCAGAGCATTGAACTTCTGTGGGAGAACCATAAATGGGAAAGCAAGCAGCGTGGCTGGCTCATTGCTAAATAGACCTGCCCTGATGTCCCCCCTCTGTCTGTCATGTCCTGAAGTGAGGTATCACCCGTGACGTCCAAAGCAAAACATAAATCCCTCTTACAGAGTGGTTGCTATTTAAATTAAAGTCTTGCCACTTCGAGCTTATAGGAGACACAACAGAGCTGTATGATAACGTGGAAGTTAATTATGGAATCGTGATTGGCAACTTCATAACGCAGAACGAACGCAAGAGCTGAGGAGTTGTTGATGTTTTTATAGCAACGGTTAATAAATAAAATACTCTGTGTTATATAGTTGGATGCTTAAATAACTGCTTCAAACTATGAATAGTTGAGCGACCTACTTGCTTTTGGATACGTGGGACTTTTTTAATATATTATTCACATGCTGCGTAGCCTTGAATGTGGTACTGTGTATCAGAGACGTGTGAACCAGGGTGAGTTGCTTTGAAACAAAGTGGGGTGTATGTACATAACTTACACAGCATACACTGTGGCAATATCATGCAATGTGCCTGCATGCCTGTGGTGTAATAAACCTGTCAGTGCTACTGAGGGTGGAGGTGGACCGAGAGACTCCAGGTGGGAGGATGGATTTCATTCTTAGTGCAGGGACTGAGGAGTAGTATCCTGAAAAGGAAGCCATAAGGTCAAGGTTAAAGTTGCCCTCGTAGCTTTGACTTGTCTTCCCTTTGTATGTGTAACGGTCTCCAAATTTACATGAGTATGTACTTCTATCCCTCAGGATCCGGCCTTATTCAGGATGGACTCTGCTTACAAAGACAAAATAATCTGCTCAGTATTTTTTTAATCTTCCTTTCTTGTGTAGTTGTGTATTGTAAAATTCCTGCGAGCATTCCTGTCTTGTAAGAAATGCAACCCCAGTGTCCGTGTGGACCGTGCTGTGATCCCTTGTGTGTTGCTCGAGCGCTTCACAACCTGCCCGCGTCGGCTCTCGCAAATCGTGGTGTTAGTCTGTAAGACGTGTTAGGGTTGGCCCCAGTTTCTCAACTATTCAAAGGTTTGGGATGTTTTTGAAGTTTGTTGTTTTGTTGTTTTTTTTTCTTAAACACTTACAAGTCAAGTGCCATAAGAACGTGAAGTGTTTTGCACAGAATGTAACCTCCAGTTGATTGCTTTGCTTGTGCGTCAGTCAAACCCCGCGTGAGCTGGCTCCTACTGGATCTAGTTTCTTCTACTTGGCCTTATCATGAGGATCTCTTTCCTGTGGGCATCACTTTCCATCTGTCTTCCTCCTTCCTCTGTAGATAAGCAGGGAGTCTGTTTGCAACATCTTTTGTTGGGGTGTGCGTTGCAATTACTTGTGCTTTATGATGGAGGAGATGGACCTTCTCTGAGGGAGAAATGGAATCATAGAATGGTTCGGGTTGGAAGGAACCTTAAAGATCATTGAGTTCCAACCCCTCTGCCATGGACAGGGACACCTCACACTAGACCAGATTGCTCAAATAATTGCAGATAATATATGGTGATGTAAGGACTGGTGTTAATACACGTGCACAGACAGGTAAAGATTTTAAATTAGCAGCCTTCTTTTAATTTTATATATTGTAGTAAAAGGGAAATGCCATTGTACAGAAGCCCCTTGTGATTTCACAGGACTAAATGACAAACTTGTAGAGCCTTTAAGTGTCCAGCTTTTAGTCTGAGGGTTGGGGTTTTTTTTTCATGGAGATATCAGGGTGATTCATTTTGAAACTTTCTCCTTCCTGTGACTGTACCGTAGGCATCTACATCAGGAATTCCATGTTTTCAGTTGCAGTGATGGCAGTAGGACATCAGTCTTGCAGTTAGAAACAAAACATAGTCTTGGTGGCATGAGCAGGTATCACATGATGGGGCTGCCCATGTTTTAGTTGCAAAATGGAGGTACCTCAGGTCATAGGGCAGGGAACGGGCTAACCCTGTTCTTGGGTGGCTGTAGGTTGAGTAGTGCCTGAGTCGTGGGTATTCTGGCCCTAGATGCATAGGATTTTGTTTAGCGATGGAGTAATTTCCAGTGGTAGAAGCCCATTTTCCTCTTAAAAATAGTCAGAAGAAGATGGGTTGCAATTTTCTGCTAGATGTCACATATTTGCTGAGTGACAACTGAAACTGTTCATCCGTGGGTGCAGTCTTCTTGTATGGCTGACATCCACCTGTCTCTTAATTTTACCTCTAAGCTTCTACATGTGCTTCTCATGTGTTCTGCAGCTTCCATCAGTTTCTCCTTTTGTTCTTCACCTGCACTCTGTCGTCTTCTGTGATGTCTGGAGGGTTTTGCTCCTCCGTTCCTGTGCCTGGTTCTTTGGCTGCTGGGGGAAGCAGCTGTAGGGAAAGGTCTCCTGCCTTGTGTCCTATGAGCTGTGTACAATTGGATTGTGTGTACCATGATGAAAATCTTTAAATATTTTTTTGCTGCCTTCTTTTAGTAAGCCTCTTCTGGTCTTGTGCAAATGATCTCCCTCTACTCCTCTCTGGCTTCTAGCTTAACTAGACTTGAGTGAATATTAGAGCAAAACTCCTCTGGTACTGCTGGACTCCAGTGCTCCTGGCCAAAATGAAGACTGGGATGTGAAGGAGTTGCTTGAATGTCACAGTAAAATTATGAAAGTATCTTGATGCTTGCAAACCTGAATATTTTTCCTTTTAATTTGAAGCGAAACTACAACTATTTTTTCTTCTCTGAAGCTGTAAAAGACACAGAACTGATCCTGAACTGAACTGGAGCTTGATGTAAAAATCAACAATGAAAACTGGGGCTGGGAAGCCCTCTGCAAACAGGAGATTCAAGATGCCAAGTGCTTGGTGAGGCTGTCCTGACTGCCCTGCCCTGTTAGCAGTCACACGGAGGTGCTGATGAGTAAAGGGGTTGCAGGTGATGATGCCATTAGTTTGCAAATGGGACCCCCCTTTGTGGTGTCAGTTTAGCACACTGGAACAGCAGATTTTCTCTCTACTGCTTTGAAATGTTACAGTACATGCACCTTAATTTTGGAGTGCTTATTAAGGTCAGAGGCTTAATCACTTTCGAAATGTCCATTGGTAATCTCGCATTTTATTAGCTTTTTTTCTGTTGTACAGAGTCTGTGTGGCTTTAGGTGATCATTTTACAGAGGATGTTTGAAATACTTTAGTGATGGTTTTTATTATACTATGTTATGTCCTGGGTGTGGGGGTCTGTCTTTAGCAATAAGTATTATACACTATGTGTATATCTGTTTTTATATGGAAAACAAGTACGGAGCATGTAATGATGGTGAAAATACACTGCCCGGGGAGTGGGTTGTGCGTTTGGCAACCGTTCTGCACCAGCCAGAACAACTCAAAAAATTGGATATTGCCCGGAGAAAAAAGAACTGGAGTGAAAAATATCATTTGGGAGTCAATTTCCCTTTCCATACGGACTGGGCCTGTGTGGAAGCGGAAGATGAGCCAGCTTTATTCTATGGATTGATTAACTAAAGCTTGTTCAATTGCTGTTGACTTCAAATAAACTTCCCCTTTTTTCAAACTGGCCCAAGCCACCTCCCTCTGGCTGTAGCCTCGTGCGTCAGTGTATTGTCACTAAACACTCTGAGAGAGGCAGCAATGCACTACTATTAAGTCTTCTATGAGAGAAGCAAAATACTTTATTCTGTGATTTGTTGGTTTTTCTTTTTATATAATAGCAATAATGTTGACTGCATTCGAATACTCCCAATAAAGGTCTGTTGAGATTGTTACGTGCCTGGGCTCCCCTTCAGTGGACTTCTCTATCTTCAACATACAAGAAATTTCAAAATTTTAATTCTGAAGCAGATACTTTAATCATGATTGAAGGTACAGTCTCAAAGCAGTCTCTCAAATTTAAGATAAGAGGCCAAATTCAGATCTTGGATTAATACACTGAAATGTTTTTTCTAATTAGCAGAACTTATTAAAGAAGAGGTTTCCTGAGTCAGACCAAACATCTAGCCAGTTCAGTGTCTTACCTGCAGCAGAAATACAACGTCAGCACCTGTAGAAACATACTGGCTGTAGAAGATGCATACAAATGGGTCTTTCCCTTTTTTGTCTTTCACTTTGGGTAAACTGAGGTTTCCTTTACCAAAATCTTTCTGAAGACGCTCAGCCACTGACAGATCTGTGCTCTGTGAGTTTAATCTGTCTTTTTTTCATTCATTTCTCTCCACCACACCAGGTGTGGTGCTGAATTCCAGAGCTTTGTTGTGTGGCAGAAGGAGCTCTGTTTGTCCTTGAACTTGTTTTCTGACTCTGTTGGCTGAATGTTCTTGCCTTCGGTGCAGAGAAGGTTAAATATTGCATTATCAAAAAGACCAAAAGTGGTTATGTCCTACCAGCACCAGAAGTTTGGCACCCTGCTGCTGTCCTTGTGTGACTGCTGGTGCCTTTTCTCACTGCCTTACCTTGCTTTTATCAAACGCCGAGTTGATTTGGTGTGTAAATCCATCCATCCATCCATCCATCCATCCATCCATCCATCCATCGCCCTGCTGCGGGTTGCAGAACCCACTCGGCGTTTCAACACACTCTGCATCCCACTTGTTATAAGAATAAAATAGACATTTTCCTTCCTTACATCACTGTGGTACTATGAGACAGAGGAAAACTGTTACCTCCAATGGATAAGTAAGAAAAAGGCCATTTTGCCTGTCCTAGAAATGGTCCATTTCTGCAGGGACAAAGGCAGATTCAAATGTTCTTACATGGGCTGCTTTAGATTCTTTTGTCACCAATGGCAATTTAACAGCTGGTAAACTATAATATAAAAAAAATCTTGAGAAGTTCTGTGCCTGCTTTTCTGATCTAGCCAAGTTACTTCCCCATCATTCTTTCAATCTGAAAAATGTGACACGTATGAAGTGACTGAAACTTGTATTATCTGGTGGGGCTATGCTTTTTTTCCTTGTCATCGTTTAATTTTACATCACTTAGGGACTTTTTAAAACTTAACCAGAGATGACAAGTGCTTTATAACGTCTTCTTGTTGTTATCTGTGCCAAAATCAGGTGAAGAAGATTGAGACAAATGTCTCATGCTTGGAAGAAAGGTATCAAATATAAAACATAGTTCTCCTTTATCTGTAAGCGTATTAAGTTGCTAACAAATGGTGTCACTCTGTTTTTACATAGTTTTCTTAAAACATGGGAGAGGATTGTTCAATATTGGTGATTTATTTAACACAGAGAAGCAGGTTAAGTGAAAATAAATGAACTAATTGATATGGGCATAATTTGACAATGTATCGTGTTCTTAAAATTTTTGCTTCCAATTTTCTGCCTGATTCAGGATGCTCCCTTAAGTTCATTTCTTGAAATAAGGTTGACTTCTCAGGCTCAAGTTTTATTTGGGTGAGAGCAACTTTTCTGTGGGTATATATATTTCTGTATTCACATAAAGGAATCGTTTACCCTTTGGCTTTTAAATATGTAAAAATTGCAGTAGCACAAACTGTCTTTTCTGTTATGAAAGGGGATGCAGAACTGGAACAATTAATAAATGCTCTGCTTCTTGCTTGGGCTTTGTGATTTCAGTGTTTCATCGCACTGACATTTTTCTTTCCCCCAACAATTATAGTCTAGATTGAGTAGCTTTTTGCCAGGGTGTACAACAAACCAAGCCCTCATTTCCAGCACTACAACAATGATTTTGAAGACATGTTAGTTTTAAGGCCGTATTGGCCTCAGGGACCTTTTCTGCTTACTCCTTTTTCTCCCTTCCATCAGTGAGCTATTTTAAGATATTCTTCTGTGTTTTCTCAGGTGCTAAAAATAGAGGTCAATTCAATTGTCCTTACACTGGAAGTCAGTCAGTGAGGCTTTTCTTTGACCAGCCATAGATGACAAGTGCCTTCTTTTCTGTGAAGAATCTGGATTGCGCATATTGCTCTGTAAACTATGGTTTTTTTCTTTTTTTTTTTTTTTTTTTTTTAAATCCACAGGCTGTTGCATCCCATTGAACTTGCGTGTACCAAGACGCCCATCTTGGTTTGACGCACATCTAGAAGTGGTTTAAGTGATGCCAGTTGCCAAAACTCACCCTCTCACTTTGTTTTTTAAGCGACTTTTAAGACTTGGCAGTTCTTCCCAACTTGCATAGTTCAGAGGTTGTTTTCTGAGTGTTTCTGGAGGAAATAAAAGTAATCTTGGGAGTCAACATTAAGTAGATATTGCAGATTTGTGCTTCTTTCTATTAGCGATAGCTTTTTGGTTCCTCCTTGTTTTCCTGTCTGCCTTACTCTTTTATCAGCTACCTGTTGTAGCAAAGAATAGAGCAGGAAAGTGAATGGCTACATTAATGAGCCTGCTTCTCTTCCCATTTGCTGTACAAAGAACCTGAATGACAATTTTTTTTACTAACTGTATAAAAGTGCAATAAATCATTAACACACTCACAATCAGGTAGCTTTTCTGTGGCTCAGAGACATCATTCTGCCCCCGGGGAGCCCATGACTCTGGGCTGCCCCTCGTTGCTCTCCTGTGACTGCCCCACTGCACTGGGGGTCAGACACAAACCAGAGACTCCTGAAGTGTACTTGAGTCAGAAACATACGTCATGGTCAAGCTTTTCATCTTTCCTGACGCAGCCACTCTACTGCTAATGCTGGCTGGTCTCTGTTTACTCCGATTCCTTTGCTCTGCCTGTAGGAATCCCCACAAATGCTACACTAATCCAGAAATTAATTTTCTTTCTGTGCCTGCTTAATCAGGGCTGTGACAGGATTTTTATACTTTATGCCTCTGAAGGTTGCCTTTTTAGGTCTGTCCTCTATGCTGGACACGTTCTTCGTCTTTTCCCAGCTTGATCTTTCTGCAGATGATTGACTTTCCTCAAGTCCAGAGTAGGTTGCTTGAAAGACAAATCCAAATATAGTCCCATTCATTTGAAAAAGGCTAACCATGCTAAAGCGAGATTGTACTGCTGTTTGAGATCACATTTACCATATATATCAAACACTGTGTCAGTTTGCAGCCCAGACAGAAGGCTGCTTGAGTCACTGTTAGCACAGTCTTGGTCCGTAGGAGAGTGTCAGTAGAGTCATTTCTAGACTGCCTGATACTCATGAATCACAAACAAGAGTGCTGTTGTCACTTATTCCTGAAATCAGCCTGAGCCCTGCCTTAAATATTCTGTTATTATTTAGCAAATTTTTCTGGGCCTGTTTGTCCAACGAGCTTTGCATAAGTGAAGGTGAGTTCTCGTAATTCCTGGTGCAAGAAAACACTAGCAGACAGTCGTAAGAGGTGGACAAGTAAGAAATCATACTCCGGAATCAAGGAAATAATATTTCTGATATGTGTTAAGTCTAAGGTCTTGCATGTAATTAGTACAAAAAAGCTGGACTTAATACACTTAATGGTTCTACTGATCTTACACCTGGAGGGTGAAGGCCAGGAAGCTGAGCTGCTTCCTGTCAGGAACTCGTCTGTATAAATGTGCATGGTATAAGTGGGAATAAAAGAAAAAGGTCAGATGCAATTGACTCTGACCCTCAATTCCCTTCACAGTCAGTGTGTCCATCCTGTTCTTCACTTCATAAATAACCACATTATGAATTGTATTTACTCCCCGTGCTGCAGAGCTCAGAGGCCTAACTCTTGCCTGTCCCCTCGGGAGGCCTAATTCTTGCCTGTTCCCTTGGTGGGCTGGGCTCTCTAGAGACACAAAAATGTATATTTCTGACACAGAGCACAAAGTCTGGTTGCACCACAACGCAGGTGAGAGCTGGAGTTCTGGCCGGGGTCATGTCAATATGCTCAATTTGCATGTTGATTTAACGAAGTGCCCCCTGTGCCTGCTGCTGCTTGCTCTGCTCTCAGACGAGTGGGCTCAGCCGTGCTCCCTGGAGTGGGGACGAGGACCGGCTGAGGAGAACCACCACGGCTGTTCCAGGTGAGCAGACCTCTTGTGGTTATCTCAGAAGTATCATATGCGTCACTCGCCCAATTTCATGGCCAGTCTACCGGCGCATAAGTGACCCCATCTCCACGACGGTTGCTATAAAAGGGTAGGTGAAGGCTACCTGGGGTGTGCAGGGCTGACACGCTGGCAGAAGGGGATGGAGCTCTCCCATCGCAAGATGGGCTCCATCCCGTTTTGCACCCTTTGCTGCTTTGTTAGCATAGCAGCAGCCAACATATTCGGTAAGTACACTTGTTCTTTTCCTTTGCCTCTGTCTGCTATGAGCTGTGCTCTTTGTGCTCCTCTGTGTATTATTCTGACAAAGTATATAATGGTCTTAAATCTCACTCATTGCAAACTTAGCTAGTTATTGTGTGCTGTGGAGAATGAGCTTGGGCTCCAGGTTAAATACTAAGCTATAAAGATCTTTAAAAGGTCAGGGTTATCTGAGTTCAGTGCACCTGGATTTTGGGTAGAAAACCTGTTTTCTGGAAGAAGAGGCTGGGCTAGAGAAGTAGGTTGGCTAAGGAAAGGTGGTGCTGCAGGGATGCAAAGGCCCTGAGGTCATAACTTGTGCTTGTATCATCTTGTTTATGCTTGAAATTTAACTTAAGATACTGGACAGTGTGAGTGCCAGCCCCGGTTCTCTGGTCTGAGTTTGACAGTCCTGCGCCACAAGCGTTTGAATCGTCTATTAATATCTTAACTCAGATGTCTTAGTAGACTCTAGCACTGTACAAAGGGGTCTCCACCCATCTCAGAGTAACGGGCTCAGAGTCACGTTTGAGATGAAAATGGTAAGGTTTGCCTACATGTGGAT